ATCAGATTCTCTTACTCGATTGGACTACCTTCACGTGGCGCCCGCAGCCCAGCGCCCGCCGCCCACAGCCCCAGAGCGTGAAACAGCACGCTACGCCCAAAGCCTGTCGGAGATAGTCATTTCCACCCAGCTCCGGCCCTACCACCCCCAGCCCGCCGCCCGGGCCACCCGCCGCCTTGTCCTGGAATTGCTGCTAGCCTCCCAGGATCCAAGTCCTCCAAATCTCTTGCGGGCTTGCGACACAACACCACAGCGCTGCATGTCATGGCGCCTGCCCCTGGCGGAGCTCCTTCCGCTCTCGTCGGCGCAGCGGGAGCCAAGGGGTTGGACGCCTGGGGAGCTCCAACGCTCCGCATCGCCATCACACGAATCCACTGGCGAAAAATCCCTCGACAATATTCTTCCAAGGTGGGGGCATGTCTTGCTTCCTTCATCCCCTGCGAAGCAATCCAGATGCGGGGAGCAGGCAGCATCAGAACCGCCTCACCGGTGAGCCCCAATACAATACTGGTGCTTGGTGCAGCAGTGGGGCTCTCTCTCAATAGGTGCTCGGACGCGTGCTCACCGAATACACGATTTGAATTTGATCCCGGTCGTGCATGCCACCGTATCCCTATTCTGCTCCCCGCGACCTCTGCTGCGATGCCATGCCAAGCTTCTGATTGAGGCGGCTAGGCAGGGGTACACATTCCCACTTGGGCAATCCCTCTATCTTATCTAGGAACCGGGCGGTGCGTTCGTATTTGCTTTTCCCACGCTCATTACTCCTTTGGCACACTAGCGACCAAAGCGACCTCTCGTCTCTCTGCATTCCCGCAGCACCGGATCCTGGTAATCAGCCGTGCGCGCGAGGCGCTGCGTCGCTAGTCTGATGACCTCCACGATCTGCTCCAGGTTGTTGCGCCTCTTTGTTGCGCTCCCGATGATTGACCGTTTAGGGGGGCGCGAGAGCTTTCATTGTGGCTTGAACGCCCAGCTGTCTTTTCGGGAAGCATCTGCACCTGTTGATCGTGTGCGTAATGGGAGACCCTTGAGCGACGGTACTTGCTGCACATCCGCAGGCGATCGAGGGCAAAAGGAGAAACAATCGACAGATACGCGCCGTTGCCGAGAAGGTAAACGGCACCTCTATTCCAACCTCCGGCTTGCCACACTGCCGTGGCTTGCTGGTTCGGGCTGCCGCCGTTGAGCCTATTTGCTGGACTTCGACGTCAAACCAAGGTTTCGGAAGAAAGTATTGCTCTACAAGGGTGTTGCCCGCCGAGCAGACGCCCCTGCGGGCACCTCGCAACACAAGCGATTATTTGGAATGCCAGCAAGGGAAAAAGAGCTTGTTGCGCGGGTGGCGATTGCGGCAGGGGCATAAGATTCCCGCGTTATTGTTTCATCTTCCCTTGACGAGATGATGAGCATGCAGCATCAACCACCTCCAGTTGACGCGTCGCCCTCCCCTCCTACTCCGACCCAAGAGCACCAGATGCTCAGCCCAGATCTTAGCCGAGTGGAGCCCGCTGAGCTAAGGCAAGCCACCACTGGGCACTAAGACCCGGGGTTTTAATTTTTTGATTACTTTCCGCTCTGTTGCTGGGCTCTACTTCCCCGTACACCGGTCTATACCCCATGTGCGATAGCCTCCAGGCCGTCTAATAGGAGAGTGGAGAGGCTCATCAATTCCCCCAGGTACTAGCATCAAGCGAAGCCTGTCACATTTTTCTCTCGGGGATCTTGCATTGACTCGTGCCGCTTTCTGGCGTCTTCGGCGGGGCAAGCCCCCTTCCCCCTCAGGCTTCGAGATCCAGATCCTTCCGCTGAAGAGAGAAGCAAAAGAAAAGAGGAGAACAGGCAGGGATGCCGAGTCCCAGCCAGCACCTTAGCGGTAGCCAAGCGAGCGGAAAACTAATTGCGCCATTGAGGGATGAAGGGCACGGATGTTGCACTTTCCTCCCACTTCCGTGTTTCATGGTGCTGACGATCGCAAGCAATTCGCCATCATAGGCCCGTTACGGTCATGCGGGCCTTCTTAATTTTTCTTTCCTTGCTGCCATGGATTTTGAGGCAGCAACATTGCTACGCGAGGTTGCTGGGTACACGACACATCATCAGCTGCGCCACTTCAGACTTTGTCGGACTGGGTTTTGCGTGATTGTGATGAGCGGATATCCTCATGCATTTGCCATGGCATGCATCGTTTTCATCTCTCGATCTTGCCCCATTTTTCCATCACCAGCATGAGACTTCACAAGTTCGGGAATGGGAGATGATGGTAGGAAGTGGAGCTATGCCTCTTTCAAAGTGCCGCTTGATTGTCGAGAACTTACCTCTCCGGTTGGATCAGTACTAGCAAGCACATTTCAAGGCAGAAAGCAACAATGTCAGGGAACACCTGGCTATCATATGTCAAGCACCACCATGCCGAAGATGATCCACGAGTTTGTGTGAACTTCACCTCATCCGGTATTTTGGCTCAAAAGCATGCGGAAATGATATCAAAACGGTCAAGAATATCGAAGTTTAGCTTCCTGTAATATACGCAGGCTCCGTTTCAGGCTTGCTTTCGAAGGGCTGGAAACAACACGAGTGATGCACCTCTCTCCATTAGATACTCATCTTCACCCAATAACCCACATTTCGATGAAAAGCAACTTCATCCATTTAGGATAAGAGCGATGTACAGGTAGAACGATAAAAAAGCGAGTGAAGTTGTCGCTGTCCAAGTCCTGCTCCTTAGATTCTAGGTAGTTAGTAAACATGCAACTCAATAAAACTGCTACGTTTCCCGGTCCGCCGCGCTGGTTTCTTCAAGTGTTCAGTGGGCTTTTCCCATCATCAATGCGGTTTTGACATCCTTCAAGCCACGAACCTCGATCGCAAGCCACGCAGAATTTTAGCCCTTCATGTTCAACAAAAAACACTGCACTTTTCTTCATAATTAAGATTTTCAACCAATGAACTCAAGTTACAAATCATATCAGACGTGTCCTCCGACTATTCACATAATTTGAATATATATCTACCTTCGAGGAAAATTTTAAAGGGTAAAGCGTTTACAATTCATCTTTATCTATGACTCTTCTCCCCATAGCCGCAGGCTCTCAGACATGGTTCCACTTCCATTCCAGTTAAAAATTGCTTGATGGTATCAAATTCCAGCACAGATGGTGCCGCACAGCGGGATTAACAGGCGATTAACATCTGCTTACCATCCTACTAATTTAATACCAACCACTCCGAGATTACATCTGCGACCATCTGTGCATACCGGCCTCACATAAGTATGCTTCTTACTCATCACTCTTTAGGGTTGTTATTTTACATAACATCATCATGCTAGAAAGCTGCTAATTATTCGAGCTTGCGAAAGACTGCTGTCAAGAGAAGACACTCGACGAGATTCCTTCCAGCAGCGGCTTGTTGAAAGATATAAATACGTTGACAGCAAAGCCCCGCAACAAACCTCTTTCACTAAAAGTCCTAAATCTTTGTCAGCTATCCGTCTTACGCAAGCCCTATAGTTGCTGTTGTTCTTCGCAAAGAAAAGGAAATCAAGTCCATGTAATAGTTTTTCAACCGCCCCCACGGCCATAACACTATCTTTTAGAGCCTCTGATCGAATACATGTTGAAAGTAGCTATTACATAGTCGCCCCTTAGAAGCGAGACTGTAGCTTGCGTTGCAGTTTTCCCAAGATTTCAGTAGCACACAGAAGCATCATATATCAAACCAGAGCAAGTAGATAAGCTTTAGGAAAGTCAGGCCTCACCGATCTGCATAAATCCCAGCGAATAGCTTCATTTACAGCAAACAGCTTACCCGCTGCCAGGGCAAGCAAACCTAGTTTGTCGATACATACAGTTTAAATATCCCGCTCTTTCATGCCACACACTACCTAGCACCAACACACGAAATGCTGCAGAATGCTGAAGCAAAAAAACCCCTCTAGTTGATGCGTGATAGCGCCACAAATTGTTTCAAACTCCAGTCGATGCTCACTCTCATAGGCGAAGAAAACCGAGATGCTGCTACGAAACGAAAAGAAACCATTCTAGAAATAAAAACATGGGCGTAAGGGAAGCATAGCACCCCATCCGCGCTGAGAGTCTTCTTACGATGCGAGAGAAAGGGGGAGGATGACTAATCCGAAAAGGCGATGCAATTTTGTACAAAATTTGCGGCAACCCAACAAGACAGGGAAACCAGAGAAATACGACCCAGTTCCAGGATGGCGAGGCTTCACAAGCTCTTGAGTGCTGCTGTTGAGAGACCACATGACGGCAACCTACGAAGGGCAGATGCGTTGGCACCAACAAGGCACACAGACTAGACAAGAGAAACAGTCCGGAAGAAAAGATCCACGGAACCAGAAAAAAAAAAGGATGACTGTTGAGGACGAGAAAGAAGAAAATGGCAGAAGCGGACACAACACAATCGTATCTGACCGAGATCAGTCTTGGGCCGAGTAGACACGTTATCTCCAAGGCTCTCGAGTGCAATGAAAGAGACAAGAAATATCTCGTAAGCTTTGGGGCATGGAGAAAACAGGAGTGCTGAGAGGAAATGAAGGTAGTTGGTAGTCTTCGTTGTTTTTGGCCGTTAGTTTTCTTGCCTGTTTTCATGACGATAACGAAAAGACCGGTGCGAAGCAAGACGCCTGTGGTGCTAAATCGGACAGAAAATGAGGAAAGTAGTACCTCCGCAGCCGTCGATGGTCCACTCCAGCCAGTGTCCAATAAAATGTCCCTTCCAACACAAACCCCCCACTCATAACCAGAATGTAGAATACATGAGACTGAAGCAAAGTTTTATACAAGGTATCCGGAAACAATACGCACGATGAGTGACAATAAACGCAGGATAAAAGAAATGAGAAAGGATGCGAAAATGCAACATCAAGCCAACGCGCTATGCGGAAATGCTGAGGAAAACAAAAACAAAAACAAAACCAACCCTTGATGATCCGCAGAGATCATTTCCTGACTGCTGTGTTTGGCTCTTCAATAAGATCAGGCGGTTCTGAGCCACCCACTTGAACGCTCAAGTTCTTCGCGGTTACCGTCTTCGCGCTTGAGCTCCTGTGCAGCGTCCCCTTAGCACCTCTTGCCAAGCTACTCACACCATCCATGCCTTTGCTTCTCCCTGCTTCTTCATCTCCACTCTTTCTGCAACCTCCGACTGCACCTCCATCTGCATATCCTAAGCAACCACCATCTGTATCGACAGATCTGCGTCTTCGAAGCCCATCTTCTTGCTCCTCAACTAGTTTCTCCATATTCTCTCTTGTCAGAGCGTGGCTTGCTTCACCTCTTCTTTGTGGAGTTTGTTCTGTCGCTTTCGGTGTGTCTTGAGGTCTCCTATGGGGATCATTCGTTGATGACAGCAGCTTCGCATCACGCAGATCAGCGGCCTTCTCTTCCTGCTGCGCTCTGCGGACGGCACGTTCGCCCTCACTCTCGTCAGTCCTATGCATGGCACTTGATTCCCGATAAGATATCCGATCCAGTGCGGGCGTCAGCGAATTGCGTTTGTCGCCGTCGTTTTCGCTAAATTCCGTCGATTCCGTGCGTGGTGTTGGCGGATTGGATGAGGCCTTTTTCGACGATGCTGTGTGATCTTTTGAATCATCCCCGGACTCTTGTATAGTTTCCGGCACAGTGCTGTTTCGCCCTTGTGCAGGATCCGTCTCCTGCTTGCGTCTCCCATGAACTGCCCACTTGACCAACATCTTCTCAAGCAACTTGCCCCTCACTGGTTTTGACAGATAGTCGTCCATTCCGGCCTTTTGACACTTCTCCTTGTCTCCTTGAATAGCGGATGCTGTCATCGCGACGATAGGAATGTTGCGAATGCTTGGCGTGTCCTTGAAGGGGGATTCAGTCCGAATCGTATGAGTAGCCTTGTAGCCATCCATAATCGGCATTTGAACGTCCATGAGGATTATGTCCGGACGATCACGTTTACCATCCTTGGCTTCGACTAGATAGTCCAGCGCCTCCTTGCCGTTCCACACCGCATCTACTGCAAAACCTTGTTTTCTGATCGTTTTCAGGGCGATTTGCTGGTTGACTTGGCTTCGCCGACTGTCAGTTCTCGTGCTAGGTATGGGATCAGAGGGGCGTACTTGTCTTCAACAACCAGAACGTGGACATTTTTCCGTTCCGTTTCTGGAAGCGCGAAGAGGTGGTCTGGTAGTGCATGGTGAAAGTTTCCATTTCCAGGAAGTGAGACTATTGATTGGGCTCTACCGTGCCGAAGTGGAGACTTTCCACTGTTGGGCGCAACTGGCGTCAGAGGAGGCGTTCCATAATCCTCAGAGCTGCCGCATGAGACAGAAATATCTGACTGAAGACGATCGGGGATCGATGCTAGGTCAATAAGAGGAGAACCTTCATCTTGGTACTGTGCCTTATTGAATGGAATCCAGAATGAGGCTCTGGTTCCTTGGCCAAGAGTAGACTCGAGCTCAATATTGCCGTGCATCAAGTCGACGAGCTAATTGTGTCAGTACGTCACTATGATAGGGCTTCGGGGTGCCTACATTCTTGCTGATGGCCAGACCAAGCCCCGTCCCGCCGAAACGGCGAGCTGTAGACGAGTCGGCCTGGCTGAAGGGCTTAAAAAGTCTTCGTCTGACTTCCTCCTCAATGCCAATGCCAGTATCTTCCACGACAAAGCGGACGTTGATCGTCTCATCATTCTCACTATTGATGGATACCGACAGGCTGACATGTCCTTCGGATGTGAACTTGATGGAGTTAGTGAGTAGATTTGTTAGAATCTGGCGCAGTCGACCTGGGTCTCCCATAACTTTGAGATCTCGCTCAATCTCGGGCGGGATGTTGCTCTCGTAGCTGATGTTCTTTCGAAGAGCAGCAAACGCCATCATCTTGTTGACATCTCTGAGGACTACCAGAAGACTGAATTGAACCTCTTCAACATCCAGTCGCCCCGATTCGACTTTAGAAAGATCAAGGATGTCGTTGATGACCGTGAGCAGTCCATTGGCCGACCTCTGAATGTTTTCGGCGCAATCTCTTTGTTCTTGGTCCAGTGTTGTGTCAAGTAACAGCTCGCTCATTCCAATCACTCCCGCAATCGGTGTGCGGATTTCATGAGACATATTGGCGAGGAACTGGCTTTTCATCCTGCTTGCTTCTTTGGCAGCAACGGCGTTGGCGACGAGTTTAGAATTCTCCTCTTCTCGCGCTTCCAGTTCCTCCCGACGCTTGCGAAGCTCTGCACCGATATTAGTGAACACACTCATTACAACAGAAGGAGGACAACAGACCCGTGATATCCATGCTCACACCATAGACGCCATCAATGTATGAATCCATCTCGATGCCTGCCTGGCGGGATGTCACCATCAACGGCGCGACACGCGTCCTATACCAGCGGTTATTTCCGTCAAATTGCATCTCAACAACTTCCGCCGTGTCTTCGCCGTCGATGATTCTGTCAACCGAAGCTTTGAGCTCAGATATCGTCTTTCGGCCAGCTTCGTCGCGGCTGAAAAGGTCATAAAGATCTGTCCCGATTTTTTCTCTGGTAACATGTGAGAATGAATCGCTGAGGAGGCTGCCTTCAAGAAGGACGATTTTCCTATCGCGATTTACAGCCCATAGAGTGACGCGAGCATGCTCAAGAACACGCAGAAGCTGTGCTCGCATTTGTTTCGCGGTCTCTCGGAGTTCGACTAGCTCGTGGATGTCTGTGCAGGTGCCGAACCACTTGACGATTTTCCCATTGTCGTCGCGGAAAGGCACAGCGCGGCCCAACATCCATCTCCATTTGCCATCGTAGCGTCTGCACCGATACTCGGTGTTATATTCCTCCTGAAAGTTGTCAGCTTCGCTACCTTTCAGGATTGGAGACTACTATCACGTACACCTGTTTGCAGAGAATGCTGCCAGCGGTTGCTCGTCTCGGGCATGTCCTCCTCATGGAAAGGCAGTTTCCAGCCCTTACCTAGAGATTCTTCTTCCGTGAGACCAGTATAGTCGTACCACCTCTTCGAAAACCAGTCGTGATCTCCGTTAGGCTTGGTTGTCCACACCATAATCGGAATCAGGTTAGTGATATACTCGAACTGTTTCTCGTTCTCCTCGATTTGCTCGGCAATTTTCTTTGTGTACTCGGTAACATCTTTGAAGACGACGATGGCTCCAAGGAATTCTCCGGAGCAGTCGTCTCGGATTGGCTCCCCCACGATCTCATAGACCTTTCTCTCGCCCGTGTCCGCGATGACCATCCCTACCCGGCGTTGGGTAACAGGCTGCTTGGTGCGGCAAATTTGCACAATGGGAAATTCATCGACTTCGAGTTGCCTCTTGAAATCCTCTGTGTAGGCCCTGAACGACTCCAAGAACTCCCTCTGGTCCATTGGTGCGTCTGCACCTTCATTGGGTAAAAACCTTAGCATTGCCTTGTTGGGAATCCCGAAATTCTCATCTTTCCACATGGCATAAGCCGGCATAGCAATCGAATCAAGAATGGCATCCTTCATCTGCGACGCCTTAAGGAACAGCGAAGGTGCCGAAGTGTCTCCACTTCGAGACGGAGGTCCATGAGGGGGGAAAAGCGGAGGATGTGTGCTGGGCGACGCGACAGCCGAGCCTGGGTTGGAACTTTGATGCGATCGTCTTCCTGAAGAGGAGCTCGAGCCAGATCCTGGAGATTTTCTGAATCCAGCAGATGTCCGAACTACGGTGCGGCTTGAAGGCGTGGGTTTAGCGCTGCTCGGGCCTGGTCTCGCGCTTGTGAAGGTAAGGGTGAAATATTGCACGTCCTCTATGTTCCAGACGGAAATGATCATGGTGGCCTGGATGGCATCACTCTCCGGTCGCGGCTTCAGCCTCCGGCCGTCCTTGGGTGGGGAAGGACGTGGAGTGCCGTTTTTGCGCAGTGAGATGATAATGTCAACCGATACATCGTGCACTGTCGTACGAGCCAAATTGGATTTGCTCAGCTTTGGTAGAGAGGGCTTAGAGGACAGCGAGTTCGGCTTGGGCGTCGATGTTGGCGTACTTTGATCGGATTCACTCCCCATTTCGGCAGAACCCCCCTCGGCTTCACCTTGCGCTTGCTTCCAGACCGAATCGAGGAAATCCTGGCGAGATTAGCCCAGACGTACATACATGGCGGATGCAGTGCCACCGCCTTACCTCCCAGCTAATCCAGATCGGGGAGCCGTCCTGCAGCATGTCGATGCCAAGCTCCGACACAGTCTGGCCGTGCAACTTGTCGGTGACAGTCTGCACAGCATCCCTGTCCTTCTCATCACTTGCGCAGCGGTCTACCTCCAGCAGGCGGCCCATGGCCTCATTAGCCAGCACGACCGTCTTTAGTGATGACAGCACAAGGAGCGGCACGGGCAGGTACTGCAGGGTAGCGAGAGCCATGGCAGTGGTGGTGGGCGTGGGCGGCAGCATAATGGACAGCGGCTCGCTGCGGGCAGAGCCCGGCGAGGGCGGGCTTCTGTCATGGAGGTCGAAGTAGCTGGTCGGCTCGGACAGGTCGCTGGCAGGTAGAGACATGGGCGTCTTCTGCGTCGCAGATTGGGCGTCGGCGGCATGGCGGACGTGGTGGCCGCTGGCAGCCAGGTCCAACGTCGGCGCGGACCTGCGCATGATAAAATCGAGGCGCTTGGGATGCTCCGCCGTGGTGCAGCACGGACGGGCGGACGCTCAGAGGACGTGTGTGGCGGTCAGAGCGGGCGCGCGCAGGATCGAGAATTCGGCGGATGGCACATGGGCTTCGATTGGAGATGGAAGAGGTGGGCGTTGAAAGAGACGGAACTGTGGTTGCGCCTGGGCGGAGGCGTGGAGGACGCTAGGGAGACGGGCGATGGTCTAGAATTCTGTGCGCAGTGGTAGTCGAATCGGGGTGCGAGTCGGCGTCGATGACGGCAGATTGGGGATTGCTGGGCCGGGACTTGAATGCAAAAGGCAGCGCGGCGGGCAGGCTGTGCTTTGGGGGCGTGCGCAGTCTGGGATTGCGCGGGCAGCGAGCGCAGCATTGGATCAGCCCGCGGATGAAGAGAGCAGCGGTTCGCACTGGGGCGACTCGGGGCATGCACAATGACGTAGACTTCAGGGCGCAGGAGTCACCTCCGAGCCGCTTGCAGCCACCGTTGGGCGCGCGCGCGCGCGCTCGAGGAAATGCCGGCGGCTCTGCTGTGCGAGGCCCAGCCGCGCACTGCCGGCGACGCAGGGCGGTGGCAGGCGCCCTTGCTGGGGCTGCAGCGCTGCGCTGGAGGCGAAAATCAAAGGGCTCGCAGGCGAGGATCGGCAGCCAGGGACCAGCAGCGAGAACGGGGCGGCGGTGCGCACTGGCGCTGACTCGCCAACGCACCCCTGCCGCTGCCGCCGCGCTTGCGTGGAGGAGAACCGACACAACGGCCTAGCCGCGTCCACCACCTCCGCCAGCTGCCCGACACGCACCCGCCCACCTCGACCGCCAGCCCTGCCGACCTGCCTACGTGCTGACGCAAAGCGCCGCCGCCTATTGGGTGCCCAGCCTACCGCTCCCGCCCTCGCTGCAGCGGCCACTTGGCACCACCTTGCACACTGCCCACCTCATCACCATCACCACCATGCTGTTCTTCGGCCTCGGCGGCCTCTTCTACGGTGCGCCCCCGTCCCCGCCGCCAGCTCTCCGCCCGTGCTGACCGCTGGCAGTGTCCGTCCTGCTCGTCAACGCCATCGCCGTGCTCTCCGAGGACCGCTTCCTCGCCCGCAGTAAGCTCCTGCCCTGACCTCTGCAACGCCTAACGTCTCGCCTCCATACGCGGATCCGTCTCTCATACACCCTCTCGTTCGCTGACGCCTTGGCTTTGATCACAGTCGGCTGGGGCCAATCTGCTGAGCCGGGATTTGGCGGTGTTCAAGACACGCAGAGTGTAAAGGCGAAGCTGATAAACCTCATCGCATCGGTGCGGACATTGATGAGAAGTAAGTAAATACACTGCTCCCCGTTGCGTGGTCCAGGAGATTTGGCGCACAGGTGCAACATCGGCTCTCTTGCTGTATGACGGGGCATAACCAATCGCATGGAGATGGGCTCCTTCCGCACGTATATGAGACGCTGGCGCTGACGTGTAAATGTACAGTACCGCTCATCGGCATCAACACCATGGTCATTCTCTACGAGCTCATACTAGGATGAGCATTCCACCGGTGATGGTTATCGCACAGACGACCGACGAGTCGCTGCCGTGTGTTTTATGGGCATAATAGTTTATGGAGTCTCGGAGCATCATGACGCATGGAAGGGGAGGATCGGTTTTGATACATACTATAAAAAGGCGGCACAATAACCAACCAAGACGACGACGCAGCGGATGATCTGCAGACCAACCATTAGAGGTTTGTGGAGCATTTCGCAACCAATCAATGGATCGGCATCTTTTCTTAATCTCCAACAGCAAATCAGACCACAGCCGCGCGTTCCCATCCAGTCACCGCTGCGCTTGTGCCGATGCGATGCAGAACGATGCGCAGTGGGAAAAAAGGTTGGAGACCCCCGTTCGGACCGTGCCGAAGAAACGAGCAGTCAAATCAGGGCGGACGATCGGGGGCCAGCGTTCGCATTAATCTGCCAACCACATGCCAAGTCGAGACGCACGCGCACCCCTCATGCCCGCCTCTCGCTCCCATCACAATCTCGCAACCGACCGAAAACGCCCCCCAAAACAGCGCATGAGCCGAACCTACGATCGACATCATGTTCTATTTTGAAGGGTCCAGATTGAACTACCGCTCTTCTTTCAGCCATCGTAGGATTGCCACAACGGCACCGTTCACAGGATCATGTTGATCGCATAAGTAGAACCGGCCACTGCCCAATAAGGCCCCCCAAAAACAGAACCAGCTAAACGAAATATCCTTGCGACCGTGCGATCTGAAAGCTTATCCCTAGCCAACCGTTCCGCGGGCACTCTGCAAACATGCAAACGGCTTTCTCGCTGCCCAGCGCTACCTCAACAACCCCTCATCCCCACCACCTACGTATCCTTACCAGGGCAGCAGCGCAAAGCCATCACCGGCCGTTCGGCGGTGACACGGGCCCCTCTCTCTTCAAAGCTATTAACAGCACGCATCCCTCAAAAAAAAAAAAAAAAGCTTCGATGACGACAAAATCGTACCTTTTTTTCACCTAATCCGAACAGCGCACACGCAGTTCCATCTAGCTAAATTACGGGGGTTATGCTTGCAACCCTGCCAACTGAAACCCCTGCCCCAGAAAGAAACCGCGGCTGCTCGCCTCGTTACAGATATGCGTATTCGTCGCCTCACTTCTAATGCCTTCGACGAAATAGCTGAAAGAAAAATAAAAGGTACATAGAAAGAGGATAGGCACACAGAAAAATGTGGCCGACCGTTGAGTACCGCCGAAAAGGGCGCCACCTCTCAAAGTCATTCCCCCCATATTTATGTAGTCATTATCGTACCATGTTTTCCCCCCCTTCCCTTAACCTCGGCATGACCGCTCCCTAACCCCCGAACGCGAGCCGTGTAGGAAGGAAAACATGGCACCTTCGCCCCGCAAAATGCAAGAACCGGGACGGTGAGCTTCCGTCAACCCTGTAAGGTAACACGCATAATTAATAATTAAGAAAAAGTGGGAAAGGGGGTAATCTCTGATGGTATGCAGGGTGGTTTCCTAGGAAGTTCTTGAAATAAACTGGTCTAGCAGCATAGACCAGGAGATAGTTACGACATACTGGGGTAGTGCGACAAGCATATTGATCCTGTCTGTTTGCATCTTATTTCCACGGTTTTATTTCCTCTGCTGTCAGTGAACTGTGCAGCTTTGAGACAACAAGTATGGCACTAAAGCCAATCGATCCTATCGTTTGATCAAACGTAACACGAAGGATGAATCGAATCCCTCCTAGTGTACAGGATATAGTGTCAATTCAAGAGGAAGAAAGGATCCCCAAATGGCCGAGAAGCCCCAACTTGCCCTTCTCAGACCACAGAAGTATGCAAAACGAAACACAAATTAAAGAAGCGACAAAAGCATGGTCGCAAGTCGAAATTCGAGCCTGGATATGTAGAAAATGACACGGAATAGTTGAGGCGATTGAACCACAACCATGCGAAGAGAGAAGAATGGCGAAGAAGTGAACCCATCCCATCCAGAGAATAAGTCTCTCCTACTGGAAAAAAAGAGAGAACCAGGCGAACCCAAGCCACTCCATGGTATTTATGCAAACAAGAAAGCACCCCCTTTTGCATCCTGTTACCTCCAATCATCATCGCTTTCCAAGGAGGCCCCATTTTTGCTTTTGGTGGAAGTTGTTCTCTGGCCGTCTATGTCAAAACCCGCTCCGAAATGCGATCAGATAGGAGCCACCTCCCTTATCTACCATGCAACTCCTCCTGCACATGGGTACGGCTTTCCTGCAGCAGACCACAGCAGCAGCCGCAGTAGTTATATAGGCAGCCATCCCTACACGATATAGAGACCAGATCAGTGTAGATGTCTAGTCAAAAAAGAAAACAAGAAATACAGCCTCCCTGCCCACTGCAAGAGAAGACCAGGAAAGTGCACGATCAACAACAGCATTAAGCCTTACCCAAATCCCAACATGCTACTCTTCTTCTTTCCCAGACCGAATTTGGGATATCCCCTCTTCTCCTTCTTGACCTCCTTGGCGGATTTCTCGGGGGGGATTGATGGCAATTCCTTTTCGCCGACGTCGCTGCTCTCGGCATTCCTATCAGGCGTTTCCGGATTCCATTTCGGGCTCGCAAAGGTGGGAGCAACAGGCGTCTCCTGCTTGGGAGTGTGTGGTTCGTTATTCTGGTATTGCGGCGGAAGTGTAGGCGTCGGGGGCGCCTCTTCGAAGCTGAAGTCCTTGCCCGAGCCGGAGAAGAATTTGGGCTTGTGGCGAAGGCTGATGCTGGAATTGCGGAAACGGTTGAGACCGCCACTGATGCTCTTGCTGCCGTGGATGTGGCGGCCATGGTGGCCGTTTTCTTTAGGGACCTTGCCCGCTGGGGGCTCGCTGCCTGTCGAAGATGGAGCAGTGGTACTGGCCGTATTGGGAGGAGCATGTTCCGATTCGTCTTTATGCACCCCGCCATTGGTAACATTGGGCGGGTCGGGAGAAGAGCTTGGCTGCGCGGAACTACTTCGACGATTTTTCGCTTCCTCTTTAGCTGTGGCCCTGCTTAGGGCCATGACCTGGCGCATTTCATCCTCCTGCTTCTTGTAGAAATCCTGGCGTTTCGCTCGTGCTTCCTTCAATCTCGATTCTTCCTCTTTACGCTGCGCCTTCGCCAGTTTTTCCGCCTCCTTTTCTTGAGCCTTGATCGATGCTCTGCGCTCTTTCTCCTCCCGAACCCTATCTTTGTCACGATGATTTAGCCTGCTCCATTTCGTCTTAAGTGTCGGCTGACCACCAAACGTGGCGGCATGTTCTAGCGGTGGCTGCGAGGCGGGTCGTATGGGCGGGGACTGTGATAACGGTGGCGCTGTTGAGGTGTGATCAAGATTACTCTCCTCCAAAACCGGCGCCACGGGCGTGAACACATGGCCATTCACAAGCGCATCCTCCGTTTTAATCGGCGTCGACACCGACTCCAGTGGCACGGACACTGTGTCACCAACAGGACTTATTGCTTCCGATTCCTGCTCTTTCTTCATCGCCTCCTCAGTAGTCTCCTGGTAGAAGAGCACATAGGCGCAAGCCAGCACGTTTTCGCCCCCAAAAAAGTTCCGCACGTATGACTTGTCCACAGGCTCCACCATTTCGTCATCGAATAACAGCCAGCCGCGGTCCTCTGTCTTGATGATCGAGACGTAATGGCCATGGTACGCTCCACCTCCGATGTGAACGACAACAGCATACAGTTCGTATAATCGATCCGGGTCCTCAGCATCGTCGGTAGTGTTGAAAAGGCGAAGGTAATAGGGATAGACGACTCTATGAAACAACTTTTGTAACCGTTGCATGTCCTCTGTATACTTGAACCTTTTCAGATGCAACGCCAATATCCGTGGTAATCTTTTGACTTTCATACGCTTTTCCGCTTCTTGTAGGCCGCCGCAGTTGTCGCAGTGGAACTTGTTGCGCTCGCACAACATTTCTTCTTCCGAGAATCGCTTCAAGCACGACGTCACCGAGGAATTCTGCTCCAAATCGACCGAAAGGTCCAGGAAGGCTTCGTCTCGCTGAGACACGTTCTCACATGTCAGGCATCTTGTTTCCGACGTGAGCGTACCTTCGAAGAGGGAATGGACCCATCCCACATTGCTTGTGGCACCGTTCTTGACGGCATTGCTCAACACAGGAGACATGGCCACTGCTAGTCCGGAGTCAGACTCTCCGCTATGTTCAGCTGACTCCTGCTCGATTTGCTGCTGCTGTTGCTGCCGAGAGAACTGCTCAACGTTTTCGACGACTTCGTTGAGAAGCAGATTTAAGAACTCGTGGGCATCCTGGTGCATGGCAGACCGAAACATTTCGTTCTCGCGACGAAGTATCTCCAAGAACTTTTGCGGGCTCACAACACCAACCCGTGACCTGTGCGCGATGATGGCCTCGAAGATGTCCTTCAATGACGTAAACAGCGACTCGGGCATCCCATACGCCTTGGAGTTTTCGTAATCCATGTTTAGCACGGGACCCGCGGCCATGGCCTGCTTCTTCTTGTATTCCGGCGAGTCCTTGTTCTCCTCGGGCTTGGTGCCCGGCGGGACGCCCGGCACCCCTGGGCCGGCCCCTGATTTCTTAGGGGATGCCAGCTGCGCGCTCGACGGCTGCCTCGTTGGAGACAGCGGATTCTGCTGTCCATTGGCTCCGGCGTTCGAGAGGTCGGTGTTGATGCGCGGCAAACCGTTGGTGGTGCGGTCGGCGAGGGAGTCTTGCGGCGAGCGGATGGGGAAGTTGATGACCTGTTCCCGAAAGGGGGTGGAGTAGTAAAGACATTGTATTATGGAGTTGCAGTAGCTGCCGAGACACGGTGAGCGCGCGTTAGTTGGGGGATGTGCGGGTGGCGGCGGGCGTCATACCAAGTGCTGCCGAACTGTGACGGCGAATTAGCGCATGAGACATGGAGGGCGGCGGAGGCGCAATTGGCTTACATTCTCGAATCCGAAGAACTTGTCGCTGCCATCGGCACGGATGGGACTCGTGTCGGCGGCGAGCAGCTTCTCGAGCGGCGTGGGCTGCGGCGCGTTGGGGTCCTTCTTCGTCGGCGCAACAGCCGTCGACGGGCTCGCGGGTGGCTGTGACGCAGTCAGTGAAACGCAGCGACAGGGCTCGGGCGGAGGAGCGCTCACCGCATTGGAGCGCAGCCTGCCAAAGAACGAGCTCATGGCGGCGCTGGATGGTGCTGGCGCGGTGGTGCGCTGCGCTCGCTGCTCGGGGCAGCAGGTTCCGTCTCGGGAGCGGCGAGGAAGTATATGCGGCGGCCGGGCTGGGCGAGGACGGGGTCAGGCGTCGGCAGCATGGGCGGGGCAAACGAGAGACGCGTGGAGATACGCAGGCAGCGCACGGCGAGAGAGCGCGGGAGGGCGAGGAGGGGCCTGGGGCAGTAGTGTGTCATGGACGTCGACGCCCGCTCTGCGGCACAGCGCGCTTTTGCCGGCCGCGAGCCAACGTAAGAAGGAACGCCTCACTGCGCGCATCGGCAACGCAGCTGGCCCCAGCCACGGCATCTTCCTGCGAGTGAAGCTTCCATGGGCATTCTCCGCGAACCGCCCAAACGGGTAGCCTGCCCGGTGGGGACAAGATCCTCGCGCACAGTCGCCGCGCTGCATCGAGCCAGTGCAACGTGCCGGTTGTCGCCCGTCACCACGCGCCGGCTGCAGGGCAGACTCGCTCTCGCATTTCGCGGTGGAGCGCCCAGCGCTGCAATGTAACGGCCTGCGGCGCGCCGCTGCTTGACGTCGCCGCGCCGCTGCAGCCTAAATTCGTCTGTTCCCCACGCTGCGCCGGCGCCCAGCCAGCGTTTGAACGGCGCGTTGAGAGCCTCCGGGGCGCGCCTGGCCCGCCAATCCCTGCATGCCCCGGCCGTGTGACGAGCGAATCTCAGGCCGCCTCCGCCCCCTCTCGCGCTCCGCGGCCGCCAAAGCGGGGGTTAATCCGAGCGACGCTGATCGATGGGATTCCGCCGCCCCGGGAAGCCTAATGGGAACCACGCCCGCCTCGACGTTTGTTTTTCGCACGTTGCGCGACCCACGGTCCTGGGTTCCCGGCTGGGGGTGCGCAATGCTGATGAATGACGTGAGGCGACCCCAGGCACCACCGGCGTCGCGACTGTCCGGCTGCGGTGCCTGGCCAGCCTGCGGCCTGCGCCGCCGATTAATTACGAGACGCCGTGCAACTCTTCACGATCGCGGGCCCACGCTTCGGTTGCGCGTCTGACAATTTGACCTGCTAGATACATCATCGAGTGATGTCTGCAGCTTATGCGAATGCTGACCCACCGCCAACGCCTGACATGCAATCCACCTAGCGATAACGTGCGCCTGACCCACCCATCCCGCATGCTGTGATGCTACTCCTTAGGAATACAGAAAACAGACGTCACGACACGACCCGTCGCTCCCTCCGTGTGCTGCCCGTCTCGATCGCCGTTTTGCCGCTGAAAGACTCGCCTTGCGCGAGGTTCCTGGCCATGAACTCCGTCCGAATCCGGGCCGCCCCCTTCTCCCAAACGGCTGCCTTCTCCTTGTACTCTGCCGCGGCTGTGGCGCTAGCTTCCTTGAGCTTGTTGGCCTCGTCGAGGTACGGCTGTTGCACCTCGTTCGGTGCGTTGCGCCACTTCGCACCGAGGACCGTGCGGATGTGGTCCTTCGACGCCTTTGCGTTCGCATCCCCCGTGGCCGCCCTGCGTTGCTCGTCGCACTCCGCCTTGACGCTGTGCCAGTGGTCCCTGGTGTACAGCAGATATGGATTGTTGCCTGTTCTCTCCGGCTTGTGTGGCCGTTCCCCGACTTGCTCGAGGATCGCTGCCGTGATCAAAACCTCCAAGTCCTCGTTCCTGGCCTGTCTCACGTTTCGTGACTCGACTGAGTCCATCTCCTCACGGCCACGCTTCGTGCCGGCGCCGGCGCCTAGTGTGGGGGTGCCTTGCTTCGCCTTTGGTGCAACCAGCGGGTGCTGCACTTCGATTGGCCCGAGCATCGAATCAACCACCTCTGATGCTGCGCGGAGACCGGACAGATATGCGCCGTGCACAGTTGCCGGGTGAGTGCCACAGGTCGCTTCGCCTGCAAAGTGTAGAGAACCTATTGGTCGTGCCATGGCATCATAGTCGCCTGGCTGTGCGGTCGGCCCCATGAAAGAATAGCTGCCACCGGCGAACGGATCTTTCTTCCACCGCGTTACAATATACTCTGTTGGAAGCGGGACAATTGCTGGCGCGAACATTTTGGATAGGCGCTCTGTGACCTCGCGGACCAAGACGTGATCATCTGTTACTTCAGTATCGTGCGCGGCATTACCGGCCATAAGCGCAACGAGCGTCGGGCGCCCGGTCGTCTTAATGCAATTCCAGAAAAGCCAAAACCGGCCTCTGCGGGATTCGTAATCCTTCTGCTCCATACTGTCTCGGAGCTCGGCCTCGTTGAGAGTGCCGAAGATATCGCGATCGGGTTCCCAGAACGGCGTGTCGTAAACTAATGCGACCTAAGGAGTATACATTAGTATAGTCATGCACCAACGTTCGGATGAGGCTTGAAACTACCTTGTTCAGTAATCCAAAGCCTAGCCGCTGAATCGGCGCCGTCTTCCACTCTGGCAAAGGAGGACTGAAACTGATTACTCCTCGCTTCAGGACTCCGAGAGGGATTGTGACCACGACCTCATCAGCTTCGATTATATCGCCGTTATCGCATTCCACGACATGACGCGCATTCTCTTGGCGTATGGATTTCACCGGGCTGTTAAAACGGACGTCGAGCTTGGTAGGGCTCTGCCAGAGTCCTCGAGGAAGCTGTTGATATCCGCCAATAATGTGCGAGTGGGGCCCCTCAAATTCATTCCCAATGTCCTGATCCCAGCCTCCGAGGCTCAACTGATTGACGTGAGCAGCATTGGAATATTCCATATTTGCATGGTGCCAGTTGAAAAGCCGTACATGTTTTGGACTCATTTGAACCATACTCTGATACTGCCTCATGGCTTCATCCATCGTTGCGCCTAATGTTGGATGCTCGGGAACCTGAGTCACAGAATCGAGCTTCAAGTTGCCAGTGATCGAAGTGTCGGGTTTTAATTGCCAACCCATGTTTCTTGCTGCTTCTGCAGCTGACACGTTAGTCCCAGAGCCAGGAGCAAGTGTGTACGCTCGCCCAGCTGATTTTTCGACGCCCATCAAAGCGTTTGGATTTACCGTCTTCTTGATTTTGTTGGAGTTCAGGCTTGGCACTGTTTGAGAGGCACCGGCATCCTCAAGCGACGAGATGAGATCGCCAGAATCATTTGAAGGATCGCGGCCTAATTGGATGAGACGTCGGTCCCCTTCGACGGTTTGCGGCGGTGGAGCCTTGTTCCTAAACTGGCTGACTCGCTCCAGAATGTCATTGTAAAGCTTCTCAACAAGTATGTCTCCCTCTTGGTCGACCACAGCCCCATCGGTGTCGTAGATGATGGTGTCGTCTTTGAGGGTGTGGTATCGAAGTGCGAGCTGTCCGCGGATGATGCAGTTCAGAGGATTTCCATGCTCGAAGCCAGTGATAATCTGCGCACCCATCTCGACAGTGTTCCGGAGTCCTGGAGGAAGCGTGCTCTTGCTCTGGTTCTTCAATGGATGCGAATATACACGACCGCCGATCCTCTTGCGCCCCTCGAGCACAACCACGCGGGGCGGTCTTTCTCCATTGTTCGTCCACTGTTCCCCGAGCTGCGCAATCAAGCCTTCCAGGTGCCGCGCACAACCCAACCCTGCCATTCCGGCTCCAGCGACGACTATCGTCCTGCGCTTACCACCTCTGGCCTTGGCTCTCGATATGGGTCCGGCAGTGCTTTGAAGCTCGATACAGCCATAGTTGATGTACCCGTTACGCACGAGCCACTTGTACGCCACTTGCGACATGTCGAAATACCGAGCGTCTCTTGCGCACCCTGCTGCCTCCGCCTTCGTTACGGCGACCAGGGGATTCCTCGTCCAAAGCCGAAGAATGGCGTTTCGGATATTAAGGTAGACGGTGACTTGAGGGTGCGTGATGTGATCCCTGAGAAGCTCGTATTCGCCAGGATGTAAGGCGAATGGATTGAGCCTCGACGACTGGGCTGCTAAAATGCACTGCCGCGCAAACTCCAATACTGGTATGTGCGCGGGTATCGAAGATTTGGCCCTGAATGCAGGTAAGTTTTTTCCAATCGGTGGGTAGCCAGATGGACGTGTGGTGAGGCCGGGGGATTCCTGTTTTATAGACATGTTGGAGGAGCGGGGCGTGTCCTTGGTGTTCTTCTGAACGCGGCCAGACAGTGTATTGTGATGCTTGGGCTCGTCGTCAAGGCCAGTCGCACTTGCCGGAATCGCGACATTAATCTCGGGCGTCCCCTGGTGCAAAGGCGTGTGGTGATTCATCTCAAACTCATCAGAAATCATCTTCGACATACCGTTGGAGTCGTCGACGTGCATTGCGGAGTCTGCAGCAGAGGGGACTACAGCATCGCCGGGGGTGGTGTCATCGTCCACCGATACATGATGCTGGTCCACGGTGCCGTCAAGGGCCGGGCGAGCGTCGTCGCCGTCGCCTTTCAGACTCATGTGACTGCCGCCGGGCTCTGAAAAATCATTGTTGTCGCCCGGCTGCACGGACGACGGGCCTGATTCATCGTAACGGTCGTACAGAGGGCCATGGTCGAAGGCGGAAAAGCTGACATCGTCGATATGCTCATCCTTCAGCGCAAAGTCCAGCTCGGATTCCTTGGCGGCCAGGTGGTCTTCCAGCAGATCATGGGAGGTGTTGAGCAGATACGAGTGCGCATCGGCGGCATCGCTCTCCGTGGCGGTTTCGGTGGAGAACATGTTCCTCAAGGCGCGGTAGGAGCTTGTGATGTGCGAGAAGCGAGAGGCGCTGGGAATGAATCGATTGGCGCTAAAGAAGGACATGAGCAGGATCGCGGCAACTTGAAACGGGCGGCGGCCTCTCGGGAGCGATTCATTCTCTGCAAGAGGGGCGGCGCTCCTGCGAGTGATGTTCTGGCGGCGCCGTTCTGTCCTGCGCTCGCTCGTACTTTTCGGGGCTTACCCAAGCGAACCACCGGACACTTAATTCGACCTCACCCCAAACCCCTCGCCCGCCCGCTCGCTCCAGCTTGAACATGCTGCGTCGCCCGCCGCCGTGTCTCGGTGCGACACCTTTGCGGCGCCTGCGCGCTTGCCCCGGCCCGCGCAGCCATGTTTCCGCGAGTGCGAGCCCAATCTCACCCACCTGCGGCCCGCCGCCCATCTCCACCCTACGCCCGCGCACCACCGCCTCACCGCCAAGCATATCATCGCTGTGCCCACAAGGTGCACTGGCGCCGTCACCTGTCTCATCACGCGGTCGCCCGAGCTGCGCGGTCTTCTTCCCGTTCAGACATCCCCCCCAACGCTTCACCGTTGACTCGATCAATGCTTCCTATCTGCAGCTTGCGGTTTGACTATGACGATGAGGCTTCATGCGTGCTTACCAACAACGCAGAACCACAAAGCATCCGATGAGATCCCCTATCGATCCTCGCCGTCTGCTGCGCAGCAGTGGCCTCAGCCCATGCAGCGCTTGTACACAAGATATGTCGTCAGCGTACTGCCCTTGCCCCAAGACGCCTCGCGTGACGATGGGTCCGTTCTGATCAGTTGTGGATGATATACCACGTCGCTTCTATCAAGCACAAGATGGCAATTTAATAAGCTGTCGCAGAGCTTGGTATAGTCGGGTACGGCTGAGCGTACAGCTCTATTCTGAGGCATATCACGAAGACAATAATCGGCCTTTCTCCCAGTAGCAGATTTAGCGTTCGGCGTCTCGCCTTGCAGCCAAGTGTTGTTTTTGCATGCAGACTTCTGCCATGGCCATACTACCGAAAAGAGGCATGGCTAAAGAAAAAGGCTAGGGTGGATGCCTGTCCATTGGTTGGTTCAATGCACAAATGGGGTAGGGTCTTAATACGAAAGGCTTGTGATAGGCCCTGCGAATTAGACATCATTACCACTCCGCTCAGTTCTCAGCTGTAGAGCCAATGTTGAAATTCGCCGGACGGTGTAGACAAGTTACATCACCACGCCCACTGCTTTCGGGTATATATCTGCGGAGGCTTCTGAACCTCGTGTTGGCCGCAGAAACTGTTCCAACGAGTTTTGACAGGCCGTACGCTCCTGCGGTGCTCGCTGCGAAAGTGCTTGGGCCGCACGGGCCATTGTACCGGGAGTCCCCAGGCGCGCCGCCGGGCTCAAACAACACGGCTCCCGTGCCGACCACCACGAGCTCCGCGTCACGCCCACCGCAAAGCCCACCAACGCAGGCCCTGCGCTCCACCATGGCCCAAAACCGCAAGTACGAGAACTTGCCCGACCTCGTATGCCACCTTCCTGGCCATTGCTTCATCTCAAATAAAAACTAACAATCCTTCTCTCCAGGACCGCGATGCACCAGACATCTACGAGACGCCCGAGCTAACGGAGGACACCACGTTGCCGGTACGCACCTTCTACACACCTTTAGTCCATGGCTATCGGATCTAACGTACCAACTGGCAGAGCTCCACCGCCCGCTCCCCCTCGCAAGCATCCTCCTACGACGAATCCGACGATGGGCTTTCCAACATTGACCGCCGCCATCTCGAGCCCGGCGACGCGCGCGCAATCTTCCAGCCCGCCCGCGTCGACGCCAAGGGGGTTGACTTCTCGGATCGGATACGCCGGCAACGTCGTTCGTATCGCACGGCGTCGAGGCGGCACCGGCGGGGTAGCCGCGGCAGCGACGACGAGTACGGCGATTTCAGCGACGAGGACGATGAGACGCTGGAGCGGAAGCTGGCGAGGCTAAGGCGGGAGGTTGAGGAAGTGAAGCAAGAGGTCGAGCTGCGAGAGCAGATGAAGAAAGAAGGCAGCGGGGTGACTGAAGGAGAAGAGGCCGAAGAGGGTGGGGAACAACCGGCCGCCACCGCTGGAGAGGAAGAAGATGAGGAGGATCCGGCGGAGGGCATTGCTAAGCTGAGCGAGATGCTGGATGCCGTATACGTGCAGCGCCAGGGCGGCGTCAAGGGTGCGGAGGCACAGTTTACGCGCACGCTGAAACGGTTCGCACGGCCGGCAGCGGATGCAACAACCACGATACCGCAGACGACAACCGGAATCACGGTCACGGCGGCATCAGAACAGGCCGCGCAAGCCCTGTCGCGTGCAGCCGACTTCGACGCCCGCCTTTCGCAGCTAGAGAAGGCGCTCGGCCTCAATGCCAACAACATGCCTGACATCGCCACGCACCCGCCCAAGAGCATCCTGCACAATCTCGACACGCTAGAGCGCCAACTTCAGACCATCTCTGAGGTTTCAACATCCTCCCTTGATGCCGCCAGCCGTCGCGTGCAGAAACTCACACAGGAGGCAGAGCGCCTTGACGAGCTTCGCCGGTCGGCGCGTGCCTCACAGGACGGCGTCTCATCCCCCGTCAGCGCGACGGGTTCGCGGCAGCGCAGCGACACTATCTCTGCGAGTGCCGTCGCAGCAGCTGCCGGTGTAGCCGCCGGTGCGGGAGGAGCGGCGGACGCTGGCCCACCACCCGAGATGATGGGCGCCTACATCGAGGACCCGGAGCGTGTAGCTAAGATCAACGCCCTATACGGCACACTCACGACCATCGAGAGTCTGTCACCGACGCTCCCGCTCGTGCTCGAGCGCCTGCGCACCCTGCGCCTTATCCACACCAGCGCCGGCACCGCCGCAGCCACCCTTGACGAGCTCGAGAAGCGTCAGGGTGAGCAAGCCGAGGAGATTCGCCAGTGGAGCGAGGCACTTACCAAGGTCGAGGAGAACCTCAAGCAAGGCGAGGGCACCCTACAGGACAACATCAAGACCGTTGGCGACTGGGTTAGGGATCTGGAGGCGAGGATCGCAAAGTTTGCCTGAAGGTGAAAAGGGGGAAAGCGGCTCCGTTGGTTGGGGTCTCTTCTCGTTTTGGATGTGAATTCGAAGTCATTCAAGGGGGGACAGCGTCTCCTATACTGTCGGTAGTCTAGGCTTCCTGGAGGGCTCGAGACTTCAGCTGCTTTCCCATGTGTAAACGATACCCACATATTGATCGGAACGACCGAGGAGTGGATGTGAGTTGGTGTGCCATCTTTCTGCTGAGGAATTCACGAATATACGCAGTACGAGAAGTCTTTTCATACTCTTTTTTTTTTTTCAGAGACAAAAACACTTGTGGAGAGCTCACTGGGGGCCTCTCGCTTTTGCAGTGCTTCATTATCATCATTGAAAGGTTATGATCAAACATTTGGCACATTGGGTGCATTGATCTTTGAGCTATGACGTCCCTCTCCGATTGTACAGCAAGAGAACTATACCGTCGTCATCACGCTGGCATTCTTGTACCAGCTCAGCAACGGATTTTCGCCGCTCCGCACCTGCGTATCCTCCACAAACGCCCACCTCTTCAAGAAATCCTCATGCGTCATAACCCGCGTCAGCTTACCGGTGATGGCGCGATATACATCTTCCATAACGCCAAAATCGGTGGGGAAAAGAATATCAAAGTAGCCTTGTTGTACCTGCAAGCGAGCATTATGTCAGACGTCGAGTATTCGGAAGTGATGGGGTTTGGTGACTTACCAGTGGTGTGCTCACAGGCACCATTTTCCGCTGGTACCTCGTTTGAACGACGGGCGCGTTGATGCCCTTGACAGTGTCGGGCAAGCTGTGGAAATCGCTGGTGACAAGCTTGTGTGCAGGGAAAAATTTGTGGAGGATGTCGAAAAACTGCATCAACCGCGTAGGAATAAACTCCGGGACCGTCAGGTTTGGCGCGAAGGGGAGTCTTGCGCGGGCGTTCCGGAGCCAGCGTGGTTGTTGCAATGGATGCCTGTATGGTTTAGTCACTGCGGCGTCTCGTACGCGAAGGAAGCGTGCGACGACGGGATCGATATCGCGGGTGTAGAATTCGTAGAAATCGCCGTTGTTGTCGATCAGGACGTTGCCTTGGAGCGCGGCTTCAGTGAATGGATCGTAGCGGAGGCAGTCATGAGCAAAGTTGTCGAAGACCTCAAGAGCAAGGAAGAAGCAGGGCGAGGAAACATAGGTGTTCCAGTCAAAGATGGAGCGGTTGATGACCTCAACCTTGTCTAGATGGCCACGGGCGGAGGCCGAACGCTTCAAATGGTGGACCTGCAAGGAGGCGAGGGAGGAAGAAATTTCGATGACACGGAACTTGGTGCGCTCGTAGACCTCGGGATATGCGTCGCGGATGTAGTCCAGAATGTTGATCATCAGGGTCCCGTTTCCGGCGCCCATCTCGTATATAAGCAGATCGTGGTAGGGATACTGCGACAGCTTGTAATTGGTGACGAGATATCTCGCAATGGACTCGCCGTAGTATGGACGGAACAGCTCGGTCGGAGTATGCCACAGCTGGCGGGTTTCGTCGTATTGCTTCTGGTCCAATTCATCTTCGAATTGCGTGTACCTCTCGCTCAGGATGCGGTAGAACTCGGGCTCGTCTTTGAGATTGCTGAAGATGAAGGGCTCGCCCGGATGGAAAATGACGACCTGTTTCGAAAAGTAGCCGTAGTGGGGGTTGTACAGGCTGTCTGCAAGGCCAATTAGCGCTGTGACGGTGGGCAATGCACGTTGGACGGTACCTTCGATGAAGTCTCGCATGAGCATCTTCACCCGCCGCGGCCTTTCCCTCCGGGACCGCAACGAGTCTGCGGTAACGGTTGGGTAGCGCTTGAACTCATCGCCGCGCTCTGCAGGGAGGATGTCTGTCCGCTGCTGCCATCTGCTCCCTGGGCCGGCGTTGACCTGGCCAGCGTCCTCTCTGCTGGACGCCAGGCCGCGACGCTGGGTGCGTGCGAGCGAGGCGGCGGGCGCACGCAGGCATTGGCTCGCGCGGTGCGAGAACAGTTGGCGGAACAGCTGGGCGACGACGGGCGAGTCCATGGCTGGCGGGGGAGGGGACAAGGTCGAGGGCGACAAGCGGCCGCGTGCTGTCCAGCTCCGCGTCAAACGCGCGTGGCTAGTGCCGCCACGACCCACCAGCCACACGCTGCACGTCACTCCGAAACCGCTGCGGTCCGGATCCTGCGCAAACGAACTCGCACGGTAATGTGCATGTCGGCAAGAGCATGGACAGCCAGAACCACCGGGTCCACTGGTGGATTGGCGGCGCCTTCGTCGCCGGCGTCCTCCTGACACTGGGCTACAAAGATGTTTATCCCGACCTCGAGCGCCGCTACAGAGCTGCAAAGGAGCAGCAGAAGCCACGGCTCAGGCGCCTGGATCACAGGGCTTCCCTCTGGTCTCTCCGTACGGCCCACCAGGTCGAGCTCAAAGACAATACCATAAATCTTGACCCGTCCGACCCCATCGAAGACATCGCAGAGGGCATTGAAGGCTGCATCGGCAACACCCCGCTCATCAAGATCAAGTCCTTGTCTGAGGCTACTGGCTGCGAGATCCTGGCAAAGGCCGAGTTCCTCAATGGCGCCGGCAACAGCCCCAAGGACCGCGTCGCGCTAAGCATCATCAACATGGCCGAAGACGAGGGCCTCTTGACCCCAAACTCGGGAGACATGGTTTACGAAGGCACCGTCGGAAGCACTGGCATCTCGCTCGCAGCAATCTGCCGCGCACGGGGTTATCTCGCTCACATCTGCATGCCCGACGACGTTGCGCTGGAGAAGTCGGACCTCCTGCTGAGGCTGGGAGCCGAGGTGGAGCGTGTCCGTCCGGCTCCCATCGTCGACCAGAACCAGTTCGTCAACAAGGCTCGCGCGAGGGCTCTTGAGCACACCAACAACCCGAACAAGCCCGGCAGAGGTATCTTCGCCGACCAATTCGAGACAGATGCCAACTGGCGCGCCCACTATGAAGGCACTGGCCCGGAGATCTATGAGCAAACTGGCCGGAAGCTCGATGCCTTCGTCACCGGTGCTGGCACTGGTGGAACTATCTCCGGCGTGGCGCTTTTCCTGAAGCCCCGCCTCCCCAAGTTAAAGGTCGTGCTGGCAGATCCGCAAGGCAGTGGCCTCTTCAACAGGGTCAAATACGGCGTCATGTTTGACCCTAAAGAGAGAGAAGGCACTAGGAGAAGGCATCAAGTCGACACCATCGTTGAGGGCGTTGGCATTAACCGCGTGACACACAACTTCGAAGCGGGCCGAGCACTGGTCGACGACGCCATCCGGGTTACAGATGAGCAGGCCATGGCCATGGCTAGATGGTTGGTGGAGAAGGATGGAATCTTCATCGGAAGCAGCAGCGCGGTCAATTGTACGTCTTCCCCTCAACACTATCTTTGTACAAAACTTACAGGCTATTAGGCGTGGCCGTGACAAAGCTCGCTTTACAAATGGGCCCCGGCCACAGACTGTGCACCCTTTTGTGCGACAGGTATGATCTGAGCGGTTTTTCATCAGGAACTATTGCGCTAACAACTGGGCAGCGGTACGAGACATCTAAGCAAGTTCTGGGCCAAGGCGGGTGCGGTCGGCAACGAGGAGGGACTGAGCATTCAGAGCGTATTGAATGCAGTTCCTAAATGATCTCTGTGAATACAAGGGGATAAACGCGTCTGTCGCTACCTCCAGATAGGTCTTCCCGATGAATCTCAGACTCACTGTAGAAATCAATTGTGCAGACAGCTTCTTAGTTGATCTCAGACAGCAGATGAATGAGTGTTCGAGAAACTCTACAATTACCAGTTTTCTGGCGAAATGATATCATGAATTCCGCTCTGATAAGGTTCCAAGTCCTAGTTCAGTCCGCTTCATCTCACTCCAGCCCCATTCCGTTTGCGAAATATCCAGGCCAATCGCCACAGGCAAAGAGAGATGCACGCGGGCCCCTCAATGTGAATCTCCCGCCCGAAGAACATGTTGTGCTACACTTCTTGCAGGAGTTTGGGAGGAGCTTGCGGACGGTAGCCTCAAACATACGAGCGCGGACTTCAACTACGTCATACAGCTATCATTCAACAACGTCGACAGTCGTCTCGCATTCCAGCAACCCTTCTGATGAATTCTCATTTTATGTTGGGACTCCCCTTTTCTCGATGCCTCACTCAACTACTGAGACTTGGGGCACAGAAGGCTTAGGACACTTCGGCCTTTTACCTTTAACACTTCCGATTTTTCCCTTGACCCACGACTGGTGAGCCTTCGCTAATATTTATTTGCCTTCGATGTGGATTGTTTGAATCAGCGCCCAGCAGCTTCGACGACTATCCGTGTCAACGATAGCAACCTGAAATCGACAACCTAAGCCACAACTCAAGGTGGTGACATCAGCACCATCTCACTTCCCCAAGCCTTTCAATTCTAGTATTTCCGAAACAAGCAACAATCTAGTAGACAACAGCGCGTCTCGGTGTATTAGGACTGGGATCGTCATTCACTTAAGGTGTGTAGACTTTAAAATCGGAAAAGGATGGGAACGTGGGCAGACAACAACTACTACTGTCTAAATATCTTCTAATTCAGTGCATTTCAGTTTGTAATAGTTTCCGTGACCTTAAAAAGATCACAGCCCGTCGATGTGATAAACCGTGTATTCCTCTTCTCTACGATATCTCACAGCCTATGTTCTGCGCTGCGTTAACAGGAGGTTAACCTCGTAGTCGCTAGCAAATATAGATGCACAAGATGAAAAATAGTGCGGTGTGTTATTAAGCAGTCGAGAACTTTTTAACCAGCAATTCCTTGCCTCAAGCTTTGGTGCCAATGAATTTTCTTGCTGATTACGATCCCCATAAAGCGTCCTGATGTCTCGTCTGGCATCAAGTCTTGTCGGACACACCGTGACACACTCAACATGAAATCAAGCCGGAAACCAACTTTCCATAGCACAGCAATGCCTGTATTCCAATTTATATCCCGCGGCGATCTTTCTAGTCCGTGATTACCCGCTGTCTAATATACCGTCGTCATGAGTAGTCGTGATGTATTGATACAAATTCCCGTGGCTTTCTTGGCCATACGCTTTCTTAGCCATATCCTACAAAACAAACAAGAGTGACAAAACCGGAAAATAGTTTTGTGATGAGCTTAGTCAGCTCTCTCCTTGTGCTTCCGACGGATGCTTCCGAGTCTCTTCTTCAAACCGTCGGTCATTTTGTGGCCAGTAGAGCGGCTGCGAGACACGCCGCTGTCGGGAGTCAACCAGTCGTTGAAGCGTTGCTCGCCTACATAACCGGTGCCATCGGGATCGGGGTAGGGGCCATTGTACTGAGGACCGACATCTGACTTGTTGCGAGGACGTGAGGTCATTTCAATGCCGTCGGCCTTTCCGCTGATCTTGTGTCTTTTCATAGCTTCGTCGATGGAGTAACTAGGCTCGCCTTTGCCCTTGATGTCATTGGGGTGATAGGTCTGTGAAATGTCAATGAGAGTGGTTGGGTTACAGCAAGTAATGGACTTACAATACCAGGCCAGCGCCTGTAGTTACCACCATTGAAGATCATCATGTCATCTCCCTCCTCATAGTCGTACCTTCGACCAAAACGATCGGTCATGCCAGGCGGAACGACAGCAACGCCATCGAGCGGATGGTGTCTCTCCACGGCATTCTTCACATTCTCTTCAGGCGTTGCCTTGATTGCCTCAGCGTTGGAGTCCTGCAAGGCAGCAAGCGGGCTGGTATCCCAGGAAGTGTTGCGTGCCAACAGTGCAGCGTCGTACGGGCCCTCGTGGTGGTACTTGCCGTTGATGGAGTCCAAACGATCGATCGTGTCCGGTCCCGGGAGGTGACGTTTGTTGAGATGGGGGGAGCGGCGGGCGAGCTTCTCCTCGCGCTTCAACTGGTCTAGTGGATGGACAGACTTGTCACCAGGGTAACGTTCCCGCAGCGAGCTGCTGCGACGGGGCCTACCTTGAACCTCTGCCTTTCTAGGCGAAGAGCTTGGGTGGCTTCCGTGGCTGCCGCTGCGGCGGGACCGTGGTGACGAGTTGTACGACGCAAACGCCTCCTCACGGTGCTGGAAACTCGAGCGACGTGGGCTGGCAGACGATGGGGGCGTGGGGTAACCACTGCCGCTGATGCGGTGGCTGGAGGCGCGGCTTCCGTCCTTGGAGCCGACCGAAGACTTGCGGAAGGGGTTGGTAGAGGCGCCAGTGGATTGCCGGCTCTGCAGAGAAGCTCCCTTGGGCGGTGAGTAGGGCGGAGGCGGCGGCAGGCTGGTGCTAGACGGTTGCGGGCCAAAAGTTGAGCGGAAATGGGTTCCTGGGCCGGTCTCGTCGCTGGGATCAGGCGCAATCAGAGGGTCGATGAGGTACTGCTGAGCCTAAGCGAGAGTGAGTAGTGCTGTTGTCACGCGGGATTTCGGCTGCGGGAGCTTACGGCTTTGGCGTCCGCTTTGTTTGGTTCCATTTTGGCGGGTATTGAGCTCGTAATTAAGGAATTGTTTGCAGAGACGAGCGAAAAGCAGAGGGGCGGAGAGTGGAGAGAGAGGGGAGGAGAAGCTGCGGGCTTGCGGTGCATTTGACTGCTGATTTGTTCGACAGCAGCAGGCACCGCCCAGAAGGGTACGCGTACTGCGGCAAGGCCCTGCGTCATTGGGGTGACGTCGCTAAGTGTCGATCGCCGCCCGACTCCGGCAGCACCGTTCCGCCGCGGCTCAAGACCCTCTGTCCCTCCCAACGTCCATCATTGCGCGGTCCAGACTCGACGCCATGCCGCTTGTCGCCTACTCCGATTCCGAGTCGGAGGCTGAGCAGGATGCTCTGCCGCCCGCCAAACGACCCAAGCGCTCCGCCAACTGCCGCAGCCCTCCGGAATCCCTGCCGCCGCTGCCCCAGGCCTTCCTCGACCTCTATGCAACCAACGCCCGGCAGAGCACACACGACGATCCCGCCCTGCACGGCGGCCGGAAGCGCGCCATCCCGCACATGGACGGCCATTGGCCTTCGCACGTCTACCTAGAGTGTAAGTTACGCCCGTTGCACGCCAAGAACATCGCCATGACATCAGGCCACTATCTTTGGCTATTTTTGCAGCCCGGCCAATCTCGTATCAATGATATCTCCCCGGCTAACTGAAGGCGCCTCGAGGGCACCCAAATGCTGCAGAATCTCGTACGCTCCAGTCGCTTCTCTCCGCCGTGGAACGAGCCCTCGCGCTCTACTTCCACACCTCTGCGAGCAATGACGCGACGGGCGTTCCCCAGCTGCAAACCGTGCACAGCTCGCTCCTGACGCCCCTGTCCACGCCCGCACCGCTGCACGTGTCACTTTCGCGGACTCTGCCGCTGCCGACGGACTCACGCGCCCCGTTTCTGGATGCACTGGCTACGAATCTCCGCCGCAGCAGCACCCGCCCCTTCGATGCACGCTTCGACGGCTTGAAATGGGTGCCTAACTTCGACCGTTCGCGCTGGTTTTTGGTGCTAGGCATGCGCCGCCCGCCGAACGATGAATTGAACCGTCTGCTACTGGCGGCTAACCAGGCCGCAAAGAGGTTCGGCTATCCAGAGCTTTATGCTGAGGACCAGCAGCATGGGGAGGGCGTGGATATGACCGGTGGCTGGGGAGCTCCTACTGCCACTGAGGACCACAAAGCAGACGAAGAAGACGCGAAAGGCTTTGTTAACAAAAAGGATGATCGTTCCAATACCTTCCACGTCAGTCTCGCGTGGAGCCTTGAGCCGCCTCCTGCTGAGCTCCGAGAGCTGTCAGGAGTGGAAGAGATATCCTACCTGATGAAGCAAGATGTTTCGCAGATGAGCGTCAGATTCGACGTCGTCAAAGTGAAAGTCGGTAATGCCATCCACGCATTCGATATCGCCCCCAAGCGCAAAGAGGAGAAGGGCATCTTAGGTCTGGCTTAAACCCTGGCCGGGGAGTTCTTACCAACGTTTGCAAGTAAGGTTTCAGATATACACTCCCCAGTATTGCCGACGCCGCTACCACCACAAGAATGGAATCAAGGACTAGGGAAAAAATCTCAAATTTGTCAAAAAGTGATTTCCCGGCTTATCCGCCGATCTGCAGATGGCCCCTCCCACCTCCGCCAACCGAGAAGCCCACTTTTCCTGGCCCCGCCCCATACGTCACTCCCTTTCCGGGGTTGGAGAAGGATTGGCGATAATGATGAAAAAAGTCTTGTAGAACAGGATATATTTATTTATCATCTTGCTCGCATGCGCTGCTCTTTGATTTCTTAAATTGTATTCCACTAATTAACAGAGTGTTTTCCGCAGCTACTATAATGTATGCGGGCGAAGTCATGTGGATCATTGTCTTGCAGCTCTCATTTTTGCGTAGCGCTATGGGTCACAATGAGTCTGAGTGGGATATTTGGATCACTGTCATGTCTCTCAGAAGGGCCTTCTGTCTGACATTCGCTACGAGAGTGAGGCCACTGGAATCTTACAACAACGTCGTAAACAACTTGGATCTGCACCTGAAAAAAATGTGCCATAAGTCGAATAAGATTGTAGATATGAGTACCTATGATTAAGTGGACAAAGTTTGTCGCCTGGACGTTGTTCGACTTTTCCTCAAATAGGGTGGTCAAGAGTCGTCTGTTCTCTTGCCTTACCCTCTCCAGGTAGACTTCATTCATACATCAAAATGGCTGGCGCGAATCCAGAGCAATATATTATTATCCTGCGAACCTCGGATGAGTTGTATTAAATATTCTGGGGTGGACGGGGAAATTCGCCTTGATAAAACGCTGACCTTTTGGATTCAAGTCGCTACATAAAGCAGACATACTTTGAGGAGTATTAAAAGAATAGAAAGAGATTATTGGAAACTACCATGGTGATCAGTTCAACTCATACTTGCATAAATGTAACAATCAAATAACTCTCTCAGACCCAAAGTAGAGCCGGGTAGTTCAATTCCCATGCAATGCCTCTTCATCACTCCTCCTGGTGGTCCTTCCCTCATCGACCTCATCGACGTCCGACTCCTGACCGCCGCCCGGATTTTTGACATCCGAGTGCTTAGCTGGGTCGAAGACGTATATGGGGAATTCCAAGAAAACGGTACGCTTCAGAAATGTCGGCATCCTCTCATACAGGGTCGGGGGGAAGGGAAGCAGGATGCTAGTGCGGTTCAAATAGCGCGAGTACTCGTCCCAACGATGGCCTTTCTCATAATGCTTCTTCGCACCCGGGCGCTCCTGAAGCGTCAATCCGGAGACGAACATCAACAAGGTAGTCAAAAAGACGGGCCCGAGGATTGAGGCATAGAGAGCACGGCGGGCACCGCCGTGTACATAACCGTAGGCGGCGGGAGCAACGGCAATGGTGAAGATGGAGAACTGGATGGTGATTTCGCCGAAGTAGTTGGGATGTCGGGTCCAGCGGAAGAAGCCGACGTCGCAGATGGGCTCACGGCCGTGACGTGCTTTAAAGCGGTACTTTTGAACGTCTGAGATTGATTCGATGGTGAAGCCGATGGCAAACATAATCACGCCAGCAATGTCGCAAGCTGTACCGAAATCGGGCTGGGGGAAGCGCGTGACGTTGGGCGAATTGAGAAGAGTGACGGGCAGGGAGACGGACCAGACCCAGCTGAGAGATGTTAGTGATGTCTGCGAGGCTTGAGGATGACTTACAGCATCTGGAAAATCCAGAAGCCCAAGAAGGGGAAAAATTTGTCGCGCTTATCGTCGAAGCGGTCGTCTTTGCCGGTCTTCAGGATGCGGAACAGCAGGAAGGCGGAAAGGCGAGCTCCCCAGGCCATGATGAAGACGGAGCAGACGATCTGGCGAGCATGGTCACGGTCTTGGCTAAAGGCGAGGGTGATGATGGCGAGAAGGACAAAGTTGGAGCCGCCGGCGAAGTCGGTCAACTTGTCGAACTTGAGAGAGTAGGCTATGGAAAAGAAAAAGAGCTGGTAGGCGACGGTGATGAGGAAAGTAATGGCGAGATAGTAGTCGTCCAAGACGTGGACGGCGGCGGCCATGGTGGTGTTTTTGTTCGTGCGTTTCAGGGCTCGGGAAGCCGGTTTATATGCAGGGCTCAGCATGCAGCGACATGACGCTGTCAAAGAGACGAAAGAAGAAGTTAGATTCTGGCTGGGCATCGGGATCGCGGTCCGTGCGGATCGACGTCATGGGCCTCGACTCTTCACCTGCAGCATGGAAGGCACGCCAGAGTAGCCGCGCTGGTGACCGAGACCATGGTAGTCGCGAAGCCGCTGCATGCGCCCAGCCAGGGCCAGCGGCGGTGCTGAGACGCGTGCTGCTCTCGCATCGAGGTCCTCGACACGCAGCGTCGCAGCGATGAGACCGGCTCCTCGCTACAACCCCGGTCAGGCTCCCGCGACTGACGCCCAGGCCACTGCTTAGCATCCTGAGACCAACATGCTGCTGTGGTGGGGCTGTCCATGTCTACATGTTGCTGGCCTCCCTCTTGTTCCGTTTGCACTCCTCCTTTCCTCACGCCTTCGTTTCCGCCCTTTTGCTCAACGCCGCTCATTGCCCTCGATGCACTCGTGATTCTTTTCATTCTCTTCTGCCAGCTGGTCTGCTGTCGCTCGCTCAAGGGCTGGTCCCCTTTTTAATACACCATGAGGCGCTTGACCCAGGTCGTGGCGGCCCTTGCCGCTTTCGCCATGACATCTGTACGCATCTCCAGCCTCCGCGTCCAGCGCCCAGTCTGCTGACCGAAAGCAACAGGTTTCAGCACAACTTGGTCCGCTCGAAGCCGGCCCTCTGCGCAAGAAGCCGAGCTATGCTGTCGAGCTGCTTAGACGACACGGCGATAATGCAACAGTGTAAGCCTCAAACCACCACTCGCGCGAGAACGACACTGCTGATCCCGCCAACAGTCCTGCTGTCACTTCCCAGGCCCAGGAAGACGAGCCGACCTTCACCCTCACCCTCAACCAGACGGCAACCGAGACTATGTATGTCACCATGATGGCCACCGAGACCCAGACCGAGGTCCAAATAGAAACCCTGACCGAGACTGTCACCGAAACCATGAAGGAGCAGCTCACCACCACCGTGACTACCTCCCCACGCCCTCCGAAATATAAACGAAGCTAATCGCCCCATCTAGGTCACCGTTGCCGCAACCTTCGAGAAGACCGTTACAGTGGCTGCCACCTTCGAGAAAACCATCACCGTCTCCGCTTCGAACGACTGCCAGACACCTCCCGCAACCACCTCTGCTACTGCCGCAGCCTCCTCCTCTGCCGCTGCCGCAAGCACTTCCTCTGCCGCTGACACAACCACTTCCTCTGCCGCTGCCGCAAGCACTTCCTCCGCCGCTGCCGCAAGCACCACCCCGCTCTCCTTCGCCCTCGGCTCCTCCAACGGGCCTCCGCCGCCATCTGGCCCTCCGAACAGCAGCGCTAGCCCCAGCACCAGCACCAGCACCAGCAGCACAATCGCAGCCACCACCTCGCTCGCCATCACGAGCAGCACAGCCGCAACATCGACCGTCAGTTCTGGCAGCAGCGCACAAGCTCTGGCCGACAACCTGCCCACGCCTGCGGCCGCCCAGGGCGCAGGCGGAAACGACCCCTTCGACATCTCCACCGTGTCGTTACAGCAAACGGTAACAGTCGGGCTGGGTAAGAGGGGTGGAGCGAGGGGCACGCCGTCGGTGGAGAGGAGGTGGATTGGCTGATCGATTGTTTTCTTTCTTTCCCTTCTGGGGTACGGATAATGTAGGGACGCAGGTGGTTTTGTTTTTATCACGCAGCGAGCGAGCGAGTACTTCTACTTTGTTTTTGTCATTGAAGCGAGAATGGGTTAACAAGATTGAATTCAGTAAGAGCGTGCAAGCGCGCATCTGTACCCCTCCAAACCCCTCTGGCTGGGGGGTATTGCTTTTTTTTTTCTTCCACTGCAGTACATAAAACTAAAGATCAAAGCAACGATATCTGACGCTTGCTTTTGCCGGCTCTGAAACCTTGTGAAGATAGGAAGACACAGGCAGCAGATACTACACTTCTGAGTAGAGTCCATGACCCCAGTTCAATAGATGAGCCGAAACGAGAGCCGAGCAGCTGGTGCGGCATTTGGCGTTCATGCTCCTGAGTGATATTATCCTTTATTGAATCATAACTATTACGACTATAGTCTTATATCAAGGAGTTATTGTCACACTGGCCGGGAGGGCACGGTTGCCTCGCCTATCTGGGAGCAGTATGGTTCAATATTACCCTCAAAAAATCCTGTCGTAGCGCATTGCATCACCGTTTCGAGACATTACATACACACTAATAGAGGAGAAAACGGATGATTTGAGCCTTTATCCGCTTTAGTTGCTGGCGCAATTGCACATGTGTTGGGTCGGCGCCAGACAGCGGGTGAGCCCAACACCACAAATGCATCACCGGTTACAGGATTTGGATCTTGACAAACTTATATGAAATTGCTACTGATGATTCGTCTCTTCCCCGGAATCCTGCGTAGCATAAGAATTGCTAACCAAAAAAAAAAGAAAAAAAAAGGGCCCAGAAAGATGAAGTGGTAGCCACTGCGGGCCGTCATCACTTGTATTTCTGACCATCTATCTTAATCGTTTGGCCATATTCAGTCCATCTCGACATCGCCATCCAAGTCCCTCGACTTCACCCTCCTGAGAAAACCCCTGTCAAACTCCTCCACCTCATCCATGAGAGGACCGCGCCACTTCTCATACCTCAGGTCACCAATGAGCTCGATCTGCGGGGCAGGGTCGAAGCGGAGGACCTTACGATCCTTGTTGACTTGGAGGCGAGCCGACCAAATCTCGATGGGGTCTTCGATGAGGTCCACGAAGCTGTCGTCCGGTTCGAAGTGCGAGCTGCGGGTCGGGCGGAGGATCGACTTCATGTAGGAGTACTCGTGTACCTTGGCAGTTGACGAGAAGGCGACACACTTCTTCCGAGCAGGGGTGGCAGGCGATGGCGGGCGGCGGCCAGGAACCTTCAGGATTCCGCATCCGGTCATGAACGGCGGCAGAGCGGGGGGCGGTGGATCGCACATGGGCTTGGCTGGCGGCGATAGAGGCTCGGTACGCGTGCAGTACCGGGTGACGGGAAGGGGGACCAATTCCACGCGAGCCGGGCAAGACGCGAACAGGCGGGTGTTGACCTCGTCCATCACAGACCTGAAGAAGGACGCACCGGCATCAGCCACGAGAGGGAGGAAGAAGCTCACCAGTAATAGGCCAAAGGCCATGCAGACGAGGAAGAAGGAGGCGTGGGAGGGAGAGGAGAACGAGGGAGGACGGCGGGTGATGTGAGGAAGGTAGGTGCTCGAGGCGACAGCCAGAAGCAGGGGAAGGAACATGGTGAAAGGCGGCGCGAGGCAGCAGGGAGAAAGCGGAGATGTGGGCGTGGTGAGCGTATGCGTGTTCGAGAACGGGAGCGTAAGCTGCGGCTTCGAGAGCATAGGCAAGGTGACCATCTGGTACAAAGAGAGAAAAGGCGGAGAGGAGGGAAGATGCGCGGTGTTTATATAGGCAGTGACTACCTTGGTTGCTGTGGTGATGCAGTTACTGAGGTGAAGTGAGTGTGCACGGGAACAGGCCGTAGATTCTGGAAGGCGCCACGACCGCTGCATGAGGGCAGGCAGTCTGTAGTACTAGCAAAATTCTTATACATATTAATGCCAAATGCCTGTGGCCCATGGCCAGCGCGGGGCCTTGCAGTGAGCATGGTGTTGCGGCTCTGCGCCCAGCGGCCCGCAACGACGCCGGCTACCCCACACAAGGCGACATCCCTTTTGCGTAGCGTGCAGGGAAATTCGCGACTCCATGCCTGGGTTGCCACCATACAGGAACGAATCGAAGGCCTTCTACAATTGAGCAGAGCTAAAGTCTATAATGTCTAATATACAAGGAGAAAGGCAAATTAAGCCCTCTCAGCTTCCTGCTCAGCTTTCTTGGCTTCGACCTTCTGCTTTTCCGCAACAGACTCATCAGCCTTCGCTTGAACCTTCTGCTTTTCCTCGGCCTCGGCCTCGGCCTCCTCCTTCTCATCAATGTCCTTGTCATCCTTCGGTGCCGACGAGGCAGTGGCCGGAGAGCTGCTGCCCGACTGCTCATTCTCCTCCTCGATGAGCTCTTGCTGCTCTTTGAGGACCTCAAGGCGCTGCTTGTTGGTCGCAGCACCCTCGGCCGTGTGCACCTCGAGTTCAATCTCGTGGAAGAGCTCCTCGGGAATGCTGGAAAGGACGGCCTTGAGAGCATCGATCTGAGTCTCCATCTCCGTCTCCTTGCCCTGCCCGTACATGAAAGCGTTACTCAAGACGAGAAGCGTCGAGGGCACGCCGTACTTGAGACGGAGATCCAACCACATCTGGAGGTCTTCCCGAAGGCGAGCCGGGCTAACGCCGTGAGTCCGGAGGCCACGGCTGCCGCAAGCAGTCTGGAGCTCGGGAACAGAGAGAGAATCGACGCCCTCGATGAAGATCATCTTGTCGTCACGCTTGATCTGGCGCATACGGTGGCGGATCTGGTAGCGAAGAATGTTGTCGGTACCGAAAGTGTTAAGACCGAGGTATTTGCAGATTCCAACAAGCTGAGGGCGCGAGAGGTTGTCCAGCGTCAGGTCATCCTTGAAGATCTTGCAGACCTTGATGACATCGGCCTGGGTAGGATCCTCACCAGTGCTGCGAATCTGCTTTCAATGTAAGCGTGTGCCCTCTAAACGCAACCGCCGACCACACTCACCTTGCGGAAGAAATCGGTAAACTCTTCGCGCTGAGCATTGGCAGCGCTGACTGGTAGGCCGCCTTCTTGCAGCGTATGACGGAGGAAGTCGCTGACCTCCTTCCGGGTCGCGCGCAAACTGGTAATCTTGTTGTCTCTGGCTTTCTGCCCCTCGTATGTGCTGGGAAGCATGTTGGGAAACAGCTTCAGCGCGACCGGCAGGAGAAGCTCAGCGAATGGAACAAGAACAAAAACAGAAAAGGGGACGAGGCGGCCAAGGTCCTGGACAGTACGACGGAGCTGCGCCAAAGTTAGCTGATGCACGCCTCCGAAGCCCCGCGATCAAAGCATACCTGTCTGTTTTCGCGGCGGGTCAGCTCGTAGCCCGCCGCCATTTTCAAGGCCAGCTTGGAGCTAATCTTGACCTCGGTCGCGAGCAGCTTGGTGCCATCCCAGTAATGATTGGCCTCTTTCTTGACCTTTTGCCACAGGGTGAGATTCTTGTGCTCCTCGGCCTTCTTGGCAAGCTTCTTCTCCTCCGTCTTGTCGGCTGCGGCCTTCTCCGCAGCAAGCTCGGTCAAGCTTTGTGCCTCGGCGGCACCAGTCTTGGGGTGCGCCGTGGGGCCGTCCTTGGGGATTTCGACTTTGATGGAGTCCTTGTCGACGTGCGACTTCAATGCGGATTTGTCCGACTGCGACTTCTGCGCGTCTTCCTTGGGAAGGGGCTTCTTCGCCTCCTCGGCGTTGAAGCCGGGCGGCGGGAAGTTACCACCCGACTGGGAGGATGTGGATGTGTCTGTGGCATAGCCATGTCTGGGGATGAGGATGGCGATTGCTGAGATCTCGCGGGGGAGCGATCTGGGGATTCTGCGCGGAGTCCTGGCGGCACCTCTCAGGAGGATTGGCGTCACCCTGGAGGCGGAGCGGTTGAAAGACATGCTGAGCACAGCTCAGGCGGGAAGAGAGCGACAGACGGCGGCAAGAAAAACAGTCGGTCAAGGAGAGGCGATGGCTGTTGGAGATGGAGACGGGCAATGCGACGTGGAGGAGGATGCTTCAACGTTTGCAGTCGTCAGCGGCAGCTAAGCAGCAAATTCCGGCCGCCAGCGACGATCGGCGGCAGGGGGAGCGGGGCTTGGCGGCTTCGTCACGCTTCTGGAACCCGCACGCCGCACCGAACACTGCCCCGAGCGCGACGCGGCCGAATCGGGCTGCGCGCCAGAGGCTCCGCGCCAGCGTGGCCCCAGGGTCCGCCGCTGCTGGCCGCCGACACGTGCAGCCGCCGGGCGATGTCGGAGTTGCGCGACACACCGGTGAGCCCGTCGGAGCGACTGCGCTCGATGCGCTGGCTCTTTGTACCTGCCTGATAAATGCAGCCGTCTGGCCGGCCGCTGCCCCGGCGATCCTCTCCTCGTCTGCTTGTTGCTTTGTGGTCTGCTTGCAAAGCATCCACCCCGGTTGGCCAGCTGCACGTGAGCAGCCAGAGCACGTGCCCGGCTTCGTCCGGGCGAGTCGTGGGCAATGCTGGCTGCACGTTTCCGCCCGCTTTGGTTCTTCACATGCGATTGGTGTACTCCATCACAGAAGAAGAGCAGGGCGCCGTTGCGCCGTGATGGCTGTCATCAATCGCAGGGCGGCGATTCGAGGATGCATGACTCGCCGGGAGCCGTCGGCTGAGCTCAACGCTTTCCCCACCCCAAAAGTCCGCCGCTGACGGCCTGTTGCGCGATTGCTCTAGCTTCCTTGCCGTTCGTGCGCCCAGCTGCTCCGTCCTTCTCGTCTATTTCATTTCCCGTTACTGCCTCGGACGCTATGGTGTTCTGACCCGTTTTCGCGTGCTCTCTTTGCTGAAGGCTGCTTTTCGCAACACGGTCACCCGCCGCGCGTTCTGTTGTTCCACCACCGCCACACCCACACCACGTCTCTCGCGATGATTCGGGACTTGTCGAGAGCAGCGCGCGTCATTCTCGTCGGCGCCCCCGGCGTGGGCAAAGGCACGCAATCAGAGCGCCTTATGAAGCGCTTTCCCCAGCTAAACTCCATCAGTTCCGGCGACCTTCTGCGCAACAATGTGCGTAACCGCACGCCGCTGGGTAGGTCGTTCATACCTGAAGCTGCCACGGACGCTCTCTGATGTCAGTCGCGTCCCAGGAATCCAGGCCGAGATGAAGATGAAGACGGGCGCACTGGTTCCTGACACGATGATGGTGCGCCTGATAATCAACGAGCTCAACACCCGCGGTTGGCTTATCCCGGACACCGTAAGACCGTACCAGGTCAACTTCGCCGCGCCCGATGCCGAAATCCCGCTTGAGAGCGTGGACGATGTCTTCATTCCCTCGCCGTTCAACACGTCCAGATTCAGCTACTCGGACTGTCCGACGGCATCTTTCATCCTCGACGGGTTCCCGCGCACCGCCCCTCAAGCGAAGCAGATCGACGACATAATCCCTATCAACCTGGTCGTCAACCTCAAAACGCCAGTGGAGGTAATTCTCGACCGTATCTGCAACCGATGGGTCCATGAGCCCTCCGGTCGGGTCTACAACACCACATTCAATCCGCCCAAGGTGCCCGGTCAGGACGATATTACTGGCGAGCAATTGACCAGGCGCGCAGACGATAGCCCTGAGGTCTGGCTTGCGCGACTCAAGAAGTTCGAGGAGACCAGTGCTCCCCTTCTAGAGCATTACGATAGAAAGGGCGTTCTTTGGGAAGTACAGGGCAACTCCAGCGATGAAATCAGCCCCAAGCTGTTCAAGGAGTTTGAAAAGAAATTTGGGTTGTAGGCGCAAGAAGACACAAAGCCTAGACGAATTGTTCAGAGGCAAATGTAACATATGGAAGCTTGGAGTTCTTGGCGTTGGGGTTCCTGCCGCCGTCACGTCGCGCTGGCTTTGCTCATAGCATCGGTCGTTTCCGAATTCCTTGGGCTTGTGTAGAGATTCACTTTTCCCAACAACAAACCCTCATAAACATCATACGAGAGTGACTAATCGGCTATTCTAATTAACGCGGCCCGATTGCGCCAGCTCGATAAACGGAGCGGCACGAAAAAAAAAAGTCATGCGTGTGAAATGCAAGAGCCAGGCATCGCTGGGCTGGGACGTGAGAATCGACATTGCTATGCCGACGTGCCGGGGTCGATGTTTGGCGGGCTCTGGCGGGCGCAGCCCATCACCTTCGTCATCGCCCAAGCACGGACACCAACCTCACAACACGCCCGCCCGCCCTGGATCTGCAGCTGTCCAGCTCCAGAGCCCAACGCCCCCACTGCAACACCTGCTTCTCGTCCATCCTCTAGATATACTTCCCCCGTCGATCTCGCCATGGCGGACACGGACTTCAGCGAAGGCATGCTCGAGTGCACTGTGGATAAACCGCAGAAAGAGAATGACGGCACCAAAGATGCCTACATATCGTATCTTGTTGCGACCAGGGTATAGCGCCCCGTTTGATCGTTGTGGAGCTTGCACGGCATAGGCGGCGACTGAAGACAATGCTTGCTGACTGGACCACAGAGCGACTTCCAGTCCTTCCAGCGGCCCGAGTTCAGCGTGCGGCGACGCTTCACAGACTTTGTCTTCCTCTGGAAAACGCTGAGCAAAGAGTACCCGCAATGCGCCGTACCGCCGCTACCCGACAAGCACAAAATGGAATACGTGAGGGGGGACCGCTTTGGTCCGGACTTTACGCAACGGCGGGCGAGCTCGCTGCGTCGCTTTCTCAAGCGCCTTACGCAGCATCCGGTGCTCCGCCGCTCTGCCATCTTCCTGCTGTTCCTTGAGAGCAGTGATTGGAACCAGACAATGCGCTCGCGGCCCCAGCGCAGCATGAGCGGGACCAGCGGAGACCAAGGCTCAGGCGGCGTGTTCGACAGCTTCACGGACACGCTCATGGGTGCATTCAGCAAGGTGCACAAGCCAGACAAGCGCTTCGTGGACGTGCGCGAGCGGGCAGACAAGCTCGACGAGGATTTGGGACTGGTGGAGAAGGTGGTGGCGCGGGTGGCTAGGCGACAGGGCGATCTCTCAACCGACTACGCCGACCTGGCAGCGCAATGCCAGAAGTTGGTCGCGCTGGAACCTGGAGTCGAGCAATCGCTCACCAGCTTTGCGACTAGCGTCGAGACAACAAGCCAAGGCCTGCGCGGCCTGCACAACCACACCGAACATGACTACCTGGGTTCTCTCCGCGACATGGATGCCTACATCGACGCAGTGAAGCTGCTGCTTAAAACACGCGAAAACAAACAGCTCGACTTCGAGAGCCTGACCGACTACCTGACCAAGGCGGCGGCGGATCGTGACACGCTGGCCAGCGCGTCAAGCACAGCCGCGCTCGGTGCGTCTGGATTCCTGCGTGCCAAAGTGGAAGACATCCGCGGTGTAGATCATGAGCAGAGCCGGCGTGACCGCGTGCGCAAGCTTGAGCTGCAAATAGAGCGTCTGACGCGCGAAGTGGAAGATGCAAAGAGGACATCTGAAGCCTTTGACGAGCAGACGGTCAAGGAGGTCCAGGATTTTGAGCGGATCAAGGCGCTCGAGTTCAAGGACACGCTGGGAGACTTGGCAGACGCCCATATCGACTTCTTCGCCAACACGGCCGAGACGTGGGAAGTGTTCCTCGAGCAAATGGAGCGGGAGCAGAGGGATCAGGCTGAAGCGCAGGCTACTGCCGCTTGAAGCGGAGCTAGCTCGGAGTGGAATGGCGTTGGACTGCAAGGGTTCTTTTCTCAATGGATAATACGTTTAGACAGGCTCTCAGCGTCAAGCCGCGCAGCATTGACGAAAGTAATTGAATGGAAGCATATGCGTTGCACCATACACGACCATGCACCAAGGGGGGGAGGGTCACGAGGCTCTTCCGCAGGTACCGGTCCAGATGATTTGGGGAGACATTGCACAAGTTGGAAGCATGTTCTATGGCATGACGTGCACGGGGCCGGACCGAGCAAGGCAGAGGCTCGCATTGTGCGTCTGGTGATCCCCTGAGATGGTTGCCCCGGGTTGGCTGAGCGGGGTTGCGCGCCCAAGCTCCCGGGCTAGTGCGACACGACTGGCATACCTAAGCTACCCCCCGAGCTCCTGCTCTCTCCAACGCTCTCAAGAAGTATCGCTCAACCATGGGCGGCGAAACACAGCTCCCCTCCAGAATGGCACCCTCCAAGGAGTACCCCAAGCTCGCGGCTGGCCCTGTGGGCAAGCAGATCCATAAGATCTACCTTGATCGCTTGCGCCAATTCACCTCTGGCGGCCAGTACGAGTCCAAGGGACTTTTGCCGTGAGCCCCCAATCCATTCCATTTGATGAATGTGTATGCTCACGCCACGACAGTAAGATCACCGAGGCCCGCGCTTCTGGCAGCGACCATGTCAAGCTGTTCGTCTACTCGCCTCCCGACCTCACCCGCCCGACCTTCAAGGAAGCCACCAGGCACGACTTCCGCCCCGCTGGGGTTGGCGAGTGGTTTGGCCCCAGCTGGTCCACCCATTGGTTCCGCATCCACCTGACCGTTCCCGACGAGCTCCGCCACAAGAACCACCTCGAGTTCCATTGGGATGCCAACAATGAGGGCCTCATCTGGACCGAGGACGGCCACCCAGTGCATGGTCTGACCGGTGGTGGCGAGCGTACCGAGTGGATATTGCCCAAAAGCTACAGGGACGGCAAGGAGCATGTCTTCTACATTGAGATGGCCTGCAACGGCATGTTCGGCAATGCTCCTGGTGGTGACTCCATCCAGCCGCCCGATCCGAACAAGTACTTCCAGCTGCACAAGGCCGAAATTGTCGCCATCAACCTGGACGCCCGCGCTCTGTACATTGACTTTTGGATCATCGGAGACTGCGCAAGGGAGTTCCCCGGAGACTCCTGGGAGTCCCACGAGGCGCTGCAGGTATGCAATTCGATCATGGACACCTTCATCGCCGGCCATGGCAGCCACGAAAGTATCAGAGAATGTCGCAAGATAGCGACGAAGTATCTGGGAGACAAGGTGGATTCGCCCGCTGTGTATGATGGTCCTCAAGAGGCCATTGTAAGTGGCATCGGTCATTGCCACATTGATACCTGCTGGCTCTGGCCGTGGGCAGAGACCAAGCGCAAGGTTGCTCGTTCATGGTCAAACCAGTGTGATTTGATGGACCGCTACCCTGAACTACGTTTCTGCTGTTCTCAGGCTCAGCAGTACAAATGGCTTGAAGAGCTTTACCCTTCCGTCTATGACCGCGTCAAGCAGAAGGTCAAGGAGGGGAGGTTCCAGCCCATCGGTGGCAGCTGGGTGGAACACGATACGAATATGCCTAGTGGAGAGTCGCTAGTGCGCCAGTTCGTGTACGGCCAGCGTTTCTTTGAGAGCCATTTTGGCCAGAGATGCAAAACTTTCTGGCTGCCTGATACCTTTGGCTACTCCACACAGCTCCCTCAGCTATGCAGACTGGCAGGCATGAGCAGGTTTTTCACTCAGAAGCTCAGCTGGAATAACATCAACAACTTCCCTCACACTACCTTCAACTGGGTATCGCTGGATGGTAGCCAAGTCATCTGTCACATGACTCCAGCGGAGACCTACACGGCAGAGGCCCATTTCGGAGACGTCAAGCGGAGTGTCACTCAGCACAAGTCTTTGGACCAAGATGCAACTTCTCTCCTCGTCTTCGGCAAGGGTGATGGTGGTGGCGGTCCAACCTGGCAGCACATCGAAAAGTTGAGGCGTTGCCGCGGTGTCAGCGACAACATCGGCCTTCTCCCCCGGGTCAAAATGGGTGATTCGGTGGATGACTTCTTCACGAGGCTTGAGAAGAAGGCCGAAGACGGTACTGACTTCGTAACCTGGTATGGTGAGTTATACTTTGAGCTGCACCGTGGCACCTACACAACCCAGGCCAACAACAAGCGCAATAACCGCAAATCGGAATTGCTTCTGCACGACATTGAGTACTTGGCAACTCTCGCGAGTATTAAGGACGTTGTAGGGAGTGGAGGGCAGAAGTACGAATACCCCAAGGAGGCCATCGATGATATGTGGGAGGCAACTTTGCTTTGCCAGTTCCATGATTGTTTGCCTGGCAGTTCCATTGAAATGTGTTATGATGATTCGGATGAGGTAAGTCCGCGCACAAGCATGTTGATACAAATACTGACATGAATCTAGCTTTACGAGAAGGTATTCCAAACTGGCGACAAACTCCTGTCGGATCTTTTGACCACACTTGGCTTTGATGGCGATGACGGCGACGAGGCCGGTGCCAACAGCACCATGGTTGCTCTGAACACACTCCCTTGGAGTCGAAGCGAGATTGCTAAACTCCCAGACTCATCGTATGGTCTGGTCGAAGGCGGCACTGGCATCCTTCACATCAAGCCTGTCTCGGCTGAGTCGGCTGTCTCTATCGAAGAGATCAGGAAAGATGTTTACCAGCTTGCCAACAGCCAATACAAAGTCGAGATTGACCAGGGTGTCATTACTTCGCTCTTCGACCGTCAGGCAAAGCGCGAGATCATTCCGCATGGCAAGAAGGCAAACCAGCTGGTTATTTTCGACGACAAGCCGCTCTACTGGCAGGCTTGGGATGTTGAGGTTTACCATCTTGAATCACGTCAGGAGCTCAAGCCAAGCAAATGGTCCATCGCTGAGAGCGGGCCTCACCGCGTCAGCGTGGACATTGAGACAAGGATCAGCGACAAGAGTTGGGTCAAGACGACTCTCAGTCTCTCGGCCGCGGTAAACAACCAGCCCTCATACATTGAGATGGAGAGCGAGGTCGAGTGGCATGAGTCGATGAAGTTCTTGAAGGTTGAGTTCCCAGTTGACATTGTCAACCAAGAAGCGTCGTATGAGACGCAATTCGGAATTGTCCGCCGGCCGACTCACTACAACACCACCTGGGACATGGCCAAATTCGAAGTATGCTGCCACAAGTGGGCCGATCTGTCCGAGGCCAGCTATGGTGTCTCCATTCTGAACGACTCCAAGTACGGCTTCGCCACTTGCGGCAACCTCATGCGCCTGTCTCTCCTCCGTGCGCCGAAGGCGCCGGACGCACATGCAGATATGGGATCGCACCGCATTCGCTACGCCATTTTGCCCCACTCCGGCCCTGTCAGTGCAACGACCATCAGGACCGCGTTCAACTTCAACCATCCCCTCAAGTACAAGCGGCACCCACGGCTGGATTCAATATCGGACTTACTCTCAACGTTCAAGATCAGGGGCTCCGATGCCCTCGTTCTGGACACTGTCAAGCGTGGTGAGGACGATAATGACGTCTCGCGCGGCGAGCTGCCGAAGCGGAAGGGTAGGAGTGTCATCTTGCGCGTGTACGACTCGCTTGGTGGGAGGGCGAGAGGCAGGATCGAGTGGGGCAAGGTTCCGGTCAAGAAGGTGTTCAAGACGAACCTGCTTGAGGATGATGGAGAGGAATTGGTCGTGGACAAGGGCGGCGTGGAGATCGAGTTGAGGCCATTTGAGGTGGCGACGTTTAGGCTGCAGTTGTAGGCAGTGGCATGGCTTTTACAGTGCTGTAGATAGCCAGAAGTCGAATGAAATCTCTTTGGTCTATGTTTTGCTAATGCCTAGCCCAGGGGTGGGCGCGTTGGATGCTCCTGTGAATGGAATCATCCATGGGGATGACAGGCCCCCCTCAAGGGCCCGAGACATCTACAATCAGACAGTCTGTCGCAAGTGCAGCCCCTCAGGCGGCAATAGGGCCAAAGATTGTGGCTTCCATTTGCAACGTTCTGCAACCAACTGCGAGCCCGATGCCCCCATTGACCCGATGCTTGTCGATGCCCGTAGAAAGATAGAATGCCTCGTTCGCCATACCACGCTCGATGGAAGTTCTTTTCCCGCTCCACTATGCCAACCCCCGATTAATGCACTATATGAGTGCTGCTCAGGCCTTCTTTCCTCCGGAAGCCTTCCAAGCCGCACCTCTCCTGCTACTTCTCGACGTTGGCTTCCCACCCTTCTTGCTCTTCTTCCCACCAAGCTTGAGACCACTCTTGCCCTGCTTCTCACTTGCACGATGGCCCTCAAATACGAATTGCTCGGGGGTTTTGAACCCATTGGCAGGCCTGTCCTCCTTCTTGGGGCCCTTATTTCCCCCAAATTTGCCACCCAATCTAACCTTGGCAGCACCTGCCTTGCCAAGGAGTTTGGCGGCACGGCCCTGCATGGATCTCTCCTCAGCAGAGATTTTAGGATTGTACACGCCCTTGTTAGAGACAGGACGAGTCGATGATGCGGAGTTAGTCTTGTTGCGCTTGATGCCTTTCGCACGCACAACCCGGAGCTTGCGTGGGAGCATAGGCGGGAACCTTTTATCGTTGTACAGCAGAGCTGCTTCCACAGCGTTCTCGTCCTACTGGCTGTCAGTCAAAGTCGATAGTTCGTATGAAGATGCTCACGGTAAATTGCACGTATGCAAACCCCTTTCCGACTCTAGTCTTCGGGTCACGAATGACCCTGACGCTCTCGACGGTGCCAGCTTTGGCGAAAGTTCTCCACAGACCCTCTTCCACGTCACCTGGTTCTTTCTTCTTTCTGATCTCCTTCCCCAGCTTCTTCGCCTCAGCCTCCTGGATCATGCTCTCGTCGTCGACGAAACTGAGGTTCCCGACAAAGACACAGCGGCGATGGTCGGACTTGGCCGGGTGAGCGACCTCATCGACGCGCAAGTGACGATCTAACACGACGGTGCCATTCAAGCGCCTTGCGGCTTCCCGCGCAGCCTGCTGGGTGGAGTAAACGACATAGGCATTTGTACTGTGTGCCGTCTCCTCCATGACCTCCTTGGTGGCGTACGCAGCCTTCTTAGGAATGAACGTCGAGAACGGGGTGGAGCGGAAGCGTATCGACTCGAACTTGTGTGCAGGGGTATGCTCAGGAAGTGCAGACAGGAAAGAGGACATGTGCTGTATCAATGCCTTCTTCGCTGACTTGTCAGAGATGGCTTTGGTGGAAACATTTCCGAGGAACACAGTGCGCGAGGCCTTCTCCAGCTCGGCGTCTCCTTCGGGCTGCGCGATCTGAGTCTCGTGCTGGGGTATCTCGAAGTCGGATTCGGCATCCGAGTCCGAACCGGCCTCTTCGGACTCGTCTGAGACTTCAGCAGCCTCGCCGTCCTCCTTCTTCTGGCGTTTGGTGCCCCTCTCAGCCTTTCTCTTGGCCTCTTCCCTGGCCTCCTCCTTTTCAAGCTTGCGCATGTATGCCTCCTCAAGCTCGTCCTCGTCGCCCTTGCGCTTGCGCTTGCGCTGTGACTTCTCGCCCAAGCTCTCGTGGACGGGGATTTCAGCATCATCGTCAGAAGTGGCGTCGTCCGCAGAGCGCATGACCGTGTCGCCGTCTTCATCCTCATCATCATGCTCGGGAAGCTCCTCATCAATGCTGGAGAGATCCTCGTCATCTTCTTCCACCGCGTCTTCGTCGCTGGCTTCGGCTTCGGGTGCAGTTTTCGGCGGAGCCTGAAGATAGGCCTCCCTGGGGCGTGGCTTCGCGGGACCGACCTGAGCACAGGATGAGAACGTAGCTACGCGGGCGTGTGGAGATTTTGGAGCTTACGCTGGTTGCGAAGAGCGAGGCCAAGGTTGGGTCGAGGGCTTTTTTGTCAGCAGTCAGCTTCAATGCCGCATCGGAGGCGGCAGAGGCGGCAGCAGCCTTCTTGCTCTTGTCCTTGGCCATGAGTGGGTTTGGCTCGCAAAGCAAATAATCGTTGCGCGAGAAAGAAACGCGGACTGGGATCGGCGTTTCGACATTTTCTATCGCCGACGCGAACGCTAGCGGGCTTTCGGGCGGGCGTGCCCTGGACGGCTCCAGTGCAGAGCTGCGAGACGAGAGATCACCCGCCAAAACACTCCTCCCCACGCCCACCAGCCCAGAGCTTCTGGTGCCCACCCGCCCAGCCTGCCCTCCACCTCGCTCTGCTCCCGTTCCCCGCGCGGCCGCTCCATCTCGACCCTGGAGCTCAGCTCTCCGCACCCTCACGCCCGCACCGCTCCCGCGCGGCCGATCGTGCACTTCACCCGCAATCGTCCAATTTCGCCCGCCAGCCCCCCGAGCGCCCTTCAGAGGCCTCGCCCCGCTCTCCACATTGTCTGGCGGGCCGCTGAGACCGGCGCACCATGAGCGCGCTGCACCGGAGCAGTAGGAGTAGGTCCAAGACCGCCCCAGAGACCGGCGCACCAACCACCACCACTGGTAAGTCGCTCTCTGCCGCCCACGCCGACCGCCTCTCTCCGAGGCATCGTGATCGGGCCGTGCCAGTTGTGTGGTAACTCTCCGGTGCCGAGATGGCCTCTGTCCCGCGTATGCCTGCCGTCGCGACCGCCCACCACGTCATTGAGCTCTGGAGGTCAAGCAAAACCGCTCACACATCGTCTTACCGCTAGATACGGGCCACTCGACGCCCACACACGTTCCTGCGAAAGCTCCTACACCCGAGCCTCTCGAGTCGCCGGAACCCGCCTCTCCTCCCCTCCCGCGCAACGTGCCCCACCCCTCCACCGCCCAGGACACACACACCGGCACCGCCCCGGTCGAAGCTCTGGCAACAATGTCTGCCGCAGCCAACGGCACGAACGACCATGACCTCGTACACAATGGCGGTATCGCCGATGTCGGCGACGAGGGCTCGAGCAGCCTCAGCGAACCTGAGGAGAGCATCGAGGACCGCGACGAGGCCGCGCTAAGAGACGTCGCATCACCGATCGCCGACGAGAACGACTCCGAGGCAGAAACGGAGCGCATTGAAAATACTCCGCGCAAGCCCACGCGCACGGCCACCGACGTCACGAATGGCTCGGAAGGTCGGAGCCCAAGCAAGCTGGCGAGGGTCATAACAGCCGAGCCGGAGAACCTTAGCCAGAGTCCTGCTCTCCCTACACGGCAACGCAAGGCAAACTCGGATGCCGACGACCTGAGCGACGACGACGACGAGCTTCCTGCCGAAGATAAGCACAATGTCGACGCCGATGCTGAGGGCTCAGCCACACCCGAAGGCAGCGACCGCAAGCGCAAGCGATCAAGTAGTGCATTGTCGTCCATTGCAGACGATCTAGACAATGACCAGCCTGCACGGAAGCGTCCTAGCCCCGTACGGCCGGTCGAGCTGAATGGCGACCCCATGGAAGTGGACGGCGAGGGTGAAGAGCCCGTCGCCGACGAAGGGGAAGACCACCCATCCAAAGATATCGAGGAGCCGTTAGTTGAGGAAGAAGATAACGAAGAGGCCGCGCAAGAAGCGGCAAACGATGCTTCTGCTGGCCCGAAGAAGTCCAAAGGAAAGAAAGGGCAACGGAAGGGCAAGAAGGGAAAGTCCCACGACAACGAAGAACATGCCGCGACTCCCCAAGAAGCCGAGGATGAAGAGGCGCCCGAAGCTGAACTCGAGGCCGAGGACTCGGCATTGATCGAGGAAGAGCGTGAGTAGCCAGACAAACATCAGCAAGCATTACTAATGATTTGCCAGGTGGTCGGAAACACAACGCTCTTGAGGAGCTCAATAAGATCGAAAAGCAATTTCTCGCTTTCCAGAAGAAGTAAGCCCTCCAGACATGCATTACCTGAATTATACACTGACCCGAGCGTTAAGGCGGCTGGAGGAACAGCTCGAACGGCTCTCGGTCGAACTTGACCAGTTGAAACGACCTGATTCAACTCATCATGAGTATCTCCTCATGCTGCAAGCCGTCGACAAGCGCCGCGACGAGAAAACTCGGCAGGAGAGCGTTCGCTTAGGATTGAAGAAGGATATACTCAGGAAACAGTTCGTGGCTATGCGCAACTCGATACATGGCCAATACATGCACGATGTCGCCGAGCTTCGCATGGACACTCTGTCTGAGTGCAATAAGCGGATAACACAGCTGCAAAGAGAGCGACGCTATTGGGGATCAAACGAGCGGGACTACAGCGTCAAATTTACCCAAAAACGCTCCCAGCAAGTCCAGCAACAAACGGCCTACAACTTGGAGGTGTCTATCCTGTCTGGCGTCGCGAAACACGTTGGCTTCCCTGCAGCACCCGACCTCGGTGCTGCCCGTGCCCCGGAAATGGACCACGATCTGGTTGCCATGGGAGTGAGTGTCGTCATGACAGTTTAAGGTCCGATCGATCAGTAGCTGAACTTCTACTGCAGATACCGATTCGCCCAGCTCCACAAGCAGCCCGCCCAACGGGACCCGCTGAATCATCGCGTGCTGACAGAGCTGCCGCAGAAGAGCAGTTTTTCGAGCAGAATGCCTGGGCAAACCCTCAGCACCCCGCGCACAACCACAATCATTACCAGATTACGAGTTCCCAGCAACGCGTCATCAGTAACCCATTTGCAACTCCAGCTGCTCAAAGAGACCGAATCGATCTGCAAGCGCCAAATGGCTCGGCATCAACAATAGACATGCAGTCGAATCCTCCCTCCGGAACAGCAGGCCAAAATTCCACGGCGCAACGTGATGCATATGAGTCACCAATCGTTCAGATGAAGCAAGCTGTGAACCGCAACCCAGGGAACCATCCTCCGGTCGACACACCCGTTCGCCCGGGCTCTCACCCATCTCGCGAGGCAAACCCGGGAGACTCACACCGTGCTCGCGACATCTACGACAATCCAGCTCTGATGTCACATCTGGGCATTCCCGGCGCGCAGTCAGCCGCCGAAAGCCATTCCACCAGTGCTATCAAGGATGAGGATGCAGGCGAACAGCTCCAGCGAGCAGCAATAACGCAGCGAACAGGAGTGGTGGGTGGTCTATTTCGCTGAGCGAGGCCTCCTCACTCTTCAATCCTTTCCTTCCTTTCTTCTCATTCGCTGCCAACTGTAACATTTATGCGTGGGGCATGGCATCAGCGTCTGGCGTTTTCTTTTTCATCCTCTCTTCTAGCGGGTTGGAATTTTGTGTTTGTGTGAATGAAGCATGAATGCAGGTGGGCGGGCGGTACATACTCTCCCGATGGTTTCTTTCTCTATCTCCCTCTCTTAGGGAAGGAACGGGGATATAATGGTGTGGCGGGGGCGTTATGGGAAAGGTTTGGAATCTACAACCCTCTCTCCCCTCGGGGACGCGGAGGGGTATTCTGGAGGCTACTAGTTCTTTTCTCTCTTCGACGAAAATCAGAGCTGTTGAGATGTGATACAAGTACACAGGCCTCCGTTGTTCCATTCTTTTTTACGCTTACGCTTTGCGCTGCGGGGTTTGCGCTTGAACTCTAGCCAGTGAGGCATTCTTCAGGTCCGTGTATGTGATCGATGCGTTTCTTTTAGGTTACGCTCTGCTCTTGAAAATGAGTACTTATAACTTTCCTTACGGCTACTATTAGAATGATGGCAATTATGATTGTATTTAGCTATCTAGTAAACCTTTATCTCCTCCCCTGCAGCTTTCTACTACTACTCTCCGGGCCACTTTCCTTAAATTTAGCGCGTTCCTAATTTAGAAATTTAGCAACTAGTATTACTCGCTACGGACGAATAGTATTAATTAAGTTGCTCGACTAATAGATAAGCTTCGACATACCTTCTCGTCCGTCGCGATTTCCCAGCACGCCTGCCAGTATATCTACTGGTCTTATAAGAGATGTACGTAAGTAGAAAAGAACAGATTATCAATACTTTAATTTATAAATCTATCTCCCTGAGTCGGCGTCATCCGCCGGCACGTCCACTGGTACATCCACCGGCACGTCCACTGGTACATCCACCGGCACGTCCACTGGTACATCCACCGGCAC